TCATACAAATTCCAAAAAAATAAGTCGAACCCCCCTCCCCCCTCCCCCGACACCCCCCAAAAAATTATACTGGTATAATGTCCGCCTATTCCAAATACAGTACACCATTCTGTAATCTAGTGTTTTATAATTGTCAAATTTGAACAGCGCCCCCTATTAAAATATGGTACCAGCGCCCCCCCCCCCAATTTTTTATTTTACGGAGGCCAAGTGCCCAGAGAAAAAAACCCTGTGTACATTTTCAGATTTTTTGCTGATGAAAACCCCCCCCCCCCCCCCCCCCCGCGAAAATTCCTGGATCCGCCCCTGCAATTCAATCCAATTCAATACAACATGGCTGTACAACAAACAGTGATACCATATGCTAAATAAATGCCTGCCCAAGTACGCATATAAAGTAAGTACCGGTAACAGCCTGAATCCTAAAAAAAAAATGTTCTGGGCTACACCAGCCAGAGCCTCAATCCTCCAATTTCATCCAGCCTCAGATGGGGCCTGCTAACCTGAATCCCCCATTATCCTCCAGAGGCAAAACCCTGGTATGCCCTCAATCCTGCAAAATCCTCCAATGCTTTGATTTTCAAAGGCCCTGGCTTGAAATCCACCATTATGCAAAGTGCATTTTGGATAAAATTGCGAAGGTTAGGGTTAAGCACGCAAGACTAATTTCTTTTGTCCGATTAGTTGTGCTGGTACAATGTTACTCAACAACAGAATAGAAACTCCCTGAAAATCCACATTTACAGTACAGACCATGGAGGTAGTAGACCAACATGCAAATGTACATGTTCGTCAGGGGTGTGAGTGGCCACTGATAAAAATAGCTGAAACAGCTGGACAAAGTGTAAAAAAAAAAGCTAAACTTTGGAAATCTCCTAGATACCGGTACTTTAGTACACAGCAAGTGAGGGAAAAAAATTGAAATCCAAAACAAAAAAAAGCTGAAATCAGCTTTAAAGCTGAGATTTCACACCCCTGGTTCGTATAGTACCGTAAGTCTATACTACCGGTATACTTGCATTTCCACTGCAATTTCTTTCTTTTTTTCACTGAAATTTCCTATTTTTTTTTAGTACAGATAGTATCCATACAAGGGTTTGTTTTATAATTATACATGTATACATGTCTGTACTACCCTGAAAATGGTAAATTTGTAAAGGCCGGTCCACATGCCACTCAAAGTGAAAACAAAGTGCCTTTCATAACGTCAACAACATGAGTTTCATCGTGACGTTTGCGTTAAATTCCTTCACTTCACAAATTTGCTTTGCACGGCGCGATTCACGTGAAATAACAAACCGACTTTAACGCCTCTCATTTTTACGCTGACAATAAGGTGTACCTTGAAAATTGTCCACAACACTTCTACTGTACAGAAAGCACAATTCACACATTTAAGCCATTGTCCTAACGCAGTTTATATTGTGAGTACACGTATACAGTGTGCACATGTACATGTACATCATAATTTACATGTTCAGTCTCGAAAAAAAATTCTTTCAAAAAATTACCTCACCAAGGTACGAGTGATTTCAAACCAAGTGCATACCAACACTGTGTGAAAACCATGTACAGTGTATTAAAATAAACTAAAACTCCTGGAATTGTGGCAGATTCTAAAAATTACTCAACAAAAAATTGTGATAAATTTGTTAACATGTGATGTGATTGAAAATATGCACAAACAGAAGTATGCATTACGTACTACAGAGTACATGCATATTTTTCTTCCATTTGCCTATTTGCACACATATCCACATATGTACTGGTACACAGCTCTGCATGTAAATGTTATACCTTTTAACGGTTTCATTAGGCTTTTTAAATACGGGTCATAAAAACTATATAAAGTACAAGTATTTTTAGTTTTTGTTGCAAACTCACCTACATGTTAATTAATGTAGCTTGCATTGATTACATAACCGACAGGAAGAAAACGGCACTTCAGCAACGGAACAAGTACCCGCTTTAAAAACAAAAACAAATGTTTTGCGATCCATATCCCCACCCCCACTCCAGCTCCTTGTAGGGCAGCCCCATATGATCTGGGGTGGGGGTGGTGATATTCGATCTATTCAGCGGATGTGCTGAATATAACGAATATTCGAATGTTTCATCGTCAACCGAATATCAGAGTACCAATTTTTTTTATTATTCAAGCATCTTCTAAAATGTGAGCGACACAAAAAGATAAAACAAAACGTCCACGGTGTTATTTCAATCGTGTAAGTTGCGTGGTTCATTGTCTGTCCAGAGCCACACTTTTGTTGAAAGCCGTTTTCGTATATGATATGAGAAATTCCATAAATATTATCTCAAATTTATTTTTCGAAATCGGTCAAATATCAGCACTGCGGCTATCTGTTCTTATGTGTTTCCTGTATTTTTTTTTAATAAGTTGTCAAATGCCGACTGCCATCCAGTTCAGGCTAGCAGATGTTAAAGTTATATTGAAAGTTATAATAATCCAATACTTAATTAATTTATTAGAAAATGCACATCCCTATTCAATACTAATTACAAAAACAGTTTACACTTCAAATGCTGATAACAAATCCCAACTGACCAGTAGATGTCTAAGCTTTATTTGCATAAATTCCAGACCAACAATAATATACTGTGTATTTTATCTCTTCTAAACAACCTTGAGACTATACAGATGAGGTTATAATGAACACTTCTAAACTTGGTATACATGTAGTCAGAAATATAGCCTACATGCAAGTCTCTTGCCTGTGAATATGTACAGTCATTTTAATTATACATGTAGGCCTACAGTAGCTTAATTTTTATTTGAGTACAAAGGCCTACTTTACACATATTATATGTACATGTACATCGCCAGGTTGGTTTTTTGTGTGTCAAATATGCACAGATCTCCATACTTTCTTTATGAAACACACTGTGCTTCAAGTCTGCTTTCCACGTTAACAATGGATTGACTGTATTCCAGATACAGTGCGTGAGCATTTTGCAAATTGTTATATTGTAATTGAAATTTCATTGGTCTAAAGGGGTAAAAACACGGTGAATTTTTATGTCGCCACTCCTTTTGTTTGATCAGTTACACGTACAGACAGTCAAAAATTTGTTCCGCTTCCCCTGCCATGCCTTTATACACAGGCTAGTCACCAGCAGTCAGATCATTTTTGAATATGCACCACTACAGTCCATCTGTTTTGAGGCGTGCGATCACACCCCCACACCATCACACACCTAAATGCTTCCTGAGAAGTGCGAATAATCGCACGCCTGAATCCCTATTTTTGAAAAATTAAAGTACGTCGGTGAAGAGAATATGGCTTTATTGTAAACCAAGATGAATATTTTGAAAAACAATACCAGATTGTTCAGTCCCACCTTGGACCACAGAATCACACGCCTAGAAAAATCACACGCCTAGAAAAATCACACGCCTAGAAAAATCACACGCCTAGAAAAATCCAGGTGTGCGTTTTCCACACACCTGTGATTTTCAAATCAGAAGGACTGCCACGACTAGTCAAATTCCACCAAAATACAAAAGCAGTTGCATGGCGGTAGGCGCAGCTGGCCAATCAATCTCCTGCAGTCAAACTCAAAGCATAGCTGTATGATCAGAGCATAGCTATACGTATCAGCAACAACCAGTCAATCCTGTTTTATGAAGGCAGGGAGCCCTCAACTGTTAAAAACAGTCACCCGATTTAGTTTGACTGCTGCGCTAGCCTTGTTGAAATAGACCTTTATTAAGCTGCCACCATTTCAGTCATGTTCCCTGTGTCCAATAACGGTACTGAATGATAATGTTTTCTGTGCAAAAAGGAACCAGACTATTTTTCTTCCAGCCTCGCTTTGGTTACGTTGATTTGAATGGGAATTTTTTTTTTTTTTTTCATTCTTAAATAGTACATTACACCATTTGTGTTCTTAATTTATCGGCACATTAGAATACTTGTTGATACAGGGCATGGTATTTTGGAAAGAATGTTGCACCCTGATGCCAAGTTTTGTCATCACATACACCTATCATCTCAATGGAGGTCAGTCATTGCAAAAATGTTAAAAGACATTAATCTGGGACTGCAAAGCATGTTCGAGTTCGTTAGGAAATACTTTGAAAATGTTCTTGACTCTCCATAGACTTTGTACACAACTGCTGAAGTGGCATCTGGATACAACATTCTTTCCGTTATTTTTTTTTTTTACAATGCAACCTTGGTTGCAATGCAACCAAGATGTAGCTGAAGATGCCGAATGTCCTCGGATGGTGTAAAAGAATACCACATCCCACATCATGTTACATAACTATTAAAAATATAAAGCTCAAAGTCAAACCCAAAACACTTAAACATGGCAGGTGAATATTTAAGAGACACAATCCATCACTCCAAAATTGGCTGTCATTGCTTTTGTGTTTCTCACGGTCTGATAAATTAATTTTAAAACACTTCCTTAGAAAAGTTTCACATTCAGTTAAGTGTAAATTAGTAAATATCCCGTTTGATAGTCGTTTGATTTTGTAGATACTGAACAACAAATATACACATATCTCAAGATGAAATATGCATGTTGAACCTTGAATAGGAACCAGCGTCCACCTGAAAATAAAGCGTCCTTTTCACACATGGAGGCAATTTTCTGTACATAAAACATTTCAATTGTACTCTTTGTAGAACAGCTAAATACATGAATTATTTACATGCTAAAATTTTATGTTTTTTATGATGATTAACAGGTCACTGAATTAATGCTTACAAACATTAAACAGACCATTATAAAATTATAAGTAACCCAGTTCATCCCTGTCACGCAAGCAGTTTTTGTTGCTAAAAAAAAGTTAAATGATTTACATGATGTACTGATGGAAACTTCCTATCACGCCTACACTATAGATAGATGCAAAATGGTTTAACTTCAAATACATTTTGAAGAGCTTGTGATGAAACTCAAAAGAGTTTAAATAAATGATATTAAATAGGACCTAGTTTTAAATTGAATGTAGCCAATCTTAAACTTACCAAGAATTTCCCAATCTTCGTCTGTGCCGATATCAGTGCCCCGGCCCAATCTTTGACAGCCGTCATCCAAGGCACCTCGATGTCCGGGCTCTTGCCGTTGAAGACCGGGCCATTGAAGCTCGGCGTCGGCGGCGACGCATCGTGCACGCGCCGCTTGCAGCTGATCAACACGATCAGACGGAACGCCAAAATCACCACCAGTCCGCCGAAAAAAGTGATCAAACTCGAGCTGAGAAACACGTACCAGTATCTCTCTCTACAGTCATCGGGTGGTATACAGTGTGTTTCTTCACACTGTTCTTCTGTTAGGTTGACATAAGACATGGTTGCGGAGAAAATTCGGGCTGTTTTCGGCTCACATTACGTTGGATTTCTGAATGCCAACATCTTTTTCACTGTCAGACTGTGTTTACGTTGCACACAACTTTGTTACTATACTGAACGTTGCTAGTTGCATGCACTTAACTTGCGATAGATGTGTGTGCATAGCGCGCATGCACATAGTACATACGTACCCTATAACAAACTTTCACTTTAATACTAGGTAGTCTTGGTTCAAGACGAGTTTTACACGCCTAGCATAGCAGCTGATAGAGGGCGCTATTGCCACTTTACGGCTCCGTCTTTTTCCGCCAAAATTTACGGTAGTACACATTCAGGTTGTGCTAGAAAAAGAAATTTCTCGAACCTATAGAATGCAGCATAATAATCATTGTGAATTATATATTTCAATAACATTTCACAAAGTATTAGTCATTTCTTCAAGTGCAACTTAATTTGGCATACCCCCACCATCTGACCATATACCAGCAACCACGCCCCACGCCGCGCGCCAAAGACTCGGCTGGCATAATTAGAGGGCGCTATTCACTCAACTAAAAACATGGCGAGCGAGAAAACGTGCATCACCGTTGGTTGCGAGAAGGGTTCCCGTTTGCAATGCCCAACTTGCATCAAACTGGGAATTCAGGGATCTTACTTCTGCTCCCAGGTGAGAAATATGTTTCCTCATTTATTCTGTGGTTTGGAAGGGCTGTGGTACTCGATAAGCTAGTGCTAGGGGATCGTAGGGCCCAGGCCTTATTCATGTTTAAATTTGCCATTGGCATTGCCAAGTTCAAGTTGTGTAAAGATTCTTGTTCTATACCACATACGGTACTGCATGGTACGGTGGGCCTACGGCTACGTCACAATCATTAGTACACCCCCCCCCCCCCCCCCCCAATCCTGTACTAGTACTGTATGGCACCGTAGTGTGGGCTTTGAAGTATCACTTTGCATGTACTGTTTCAACTTGAAGAGCTTAATTACAAGTTAGTTCAGCTAGTTGCGAGTAAATTGGATTTTGTTTTCGTATTAATCATGTTAATTGTTAGGCTAGTGAATTTTTTCCGTCGTCACAGATATGTTTGATTATAATTACACTGGTTTACTCTGTTAACTTTAAACATGTATTTAAAACGTTAGGAAACATGGAAACTTTCATTCAGCCTGTTTGTGGAAAAATATGACTATTCTTTACATGTTTTTTTTTTTTTTTGCAGCTTCAGATTACGAGATCAGCCCCCCAACTAAAAGACTTTCCTTGTCCTTAATTCAAACTTTAATATGCAGAACGGAACAAGGTAGCTTCCGAAATACATTGTCATACGAAAAATTAAACTTGTTTTCAGGCGGAACCTTTATTCCAACTTGTTTGACTTGACAGGAATGTTTCAAGGAGAACTGGGCAGATCACAAACAGGTTCATAAGAAGGAACGCATCAACCAGCAGCTGAATACAAAGATCTACAATCCATGGCCGGGGTATATGTTCACTGGCAAGCTGCGTCCATACCCTTTGGTAAGAATGGAATGGCCCAATAAGCCCAGCCCCCCCCCCCCCCCCCCCGATGTTTTGATCCAATCACGCTCGTGACCGTGCAACCAAATGTCAGAGGAAAGTCTGACTTAAATGTATTGAATATGGCTAGAGCATGTAGCGTGACATTGGGGAAATGCACATACATGTATTTGCCAAAGTTTTTCTGTGAAAATTTGTTCATGTGAAGATGATTATTCTGAATATTAAATTTTAATTCTAATTTACAGTCGGAATCTCGTACTGTTCCAGAAGGCATCGGGAGGCCAGATTATGCGGATCACCCTGAAGGTAATACCAAAAAGACACGATTGATCATTCCAGTCACAGATTCAAAATTTGAAAGCGGTTATCTTTAGGAAAAGACTTTGCAGGACAAAAAAACAATAATACAAGTGCTTTTATCCACTTTTTTCCACCTTATAAACAGTTGTTCTGTTGCAGCATTGTCCATTGAAAAAAAAATAAAACACAACAGTCCATCGATGGTTCATGTTCATGGATGGTTGGTATTTTTGTGATCAGGTTATCCAACGACTGAGATGGCAGTCAAAGGAAGCACTCAGATCCGATGTCTGACCGCCGAGGAGATTGAAGGTCTCAGGGTTGCATGCAGGGTAAGAACAAGACCCGTAAACATGGCGATATACATCACCATGTGTCGTTGCCATGTCTGGACATTTGAAAGCCTAGATAAAGGTATTCCATCTACAATCCCGAAGTTTAACCCTAACTCCCTAGCATGATTTACTAGGAACCATACCGATCCTGGCAAATTCCAATACCATATGGGAAACGGCACACACATATTTCTGACTTTCTGGAGGTGTGCCAGCCCAATGTAAAAGAGTTTAGGGGTACTGTACCCATCCTGACAGATTCCAACAAAACATGCCGTTGGGTTTTGATGGGTTGAGTACTGTTAGGGTTCAATAGAACACCTGCATTGTCCGTACTTACAATATGAGGTTATCCAAGAACTTCCACTGGCACAGGATCTGTCACTCCCAAGAAATTCGAGAAAAAAATGGACCCGATACGAACGTGTAGAATTTTGGTTTATTGGAATTTCTGAAAAGTCACGCATGGTCCCCCGAATCCTTTGCATGCAAAACATTAGGAGCCCTCCGAGGTAACCGTTCCCTCCATTCAGCGCATGCAATTCACAGAGCAATCTATTTGCCTGTTTCTGACAGCTACATGTACATTTCCGTAAGTTTTTTTGCCTTGTTGTCCCTTGCCTTTGATCTTGTTTTCCAGCCGGTAAATTGTATCAACAGACTTTTGTGAACTGATACTCTTGTCTTTTTCTTCTTTTCTCTAGCTTGGCAGGGAGGTGTTAGACATAGCCGCAGCCATGGTCAAGCCGGGCGTCACCACCGATGAAATCGACGAAGCCGTCCACAAGGCGTCTGTAGAGAGAAACTGCTACCCGTCGCCTCTCAACTATCATAAATTTCCCAAGTCATGTTGCACGTAAGTTCCTTTAATTCTTTTTTTGTTCGGCAGCAAGCAGTACACTACAGTCAGAAAAAAGTAACGAGTTATCAATGGCAAGATTTCCACTGGTTGAACTCTCTGATTACAGAATTAATTGTCGTAATGAGACTGAGTCAAAAAATGTAACAAGAAATTTGCTACCACTGCTTAGTCGATTAAATTGTTGGTTATCTCTCCTTAGGTCCGTAAATGAGGTTATATGTCACGGCATACCCGACAAGCGACCCATGGAGGACGGAGACATCATGAATGGTAACTATAATCTTTTTCAAAATTCCTTCTCTGTGACTTTGATTAAATATAAAAACCACAAATAAATGCAGACAAACTTTACCTCCAGGGCACTAACGCACTGAAAGTTAAAGTTTAAAACGTTTAAAATCCAGCAAAAATGAATACAACAGAATTTACAAAAAAAATCTTAACATTTGCATCTCACTCCAAAGGTGGCCGGCATTAGCTTTTCGATTTTTCTTCCAAAAGCAATTTCAATATAGTTAGATGAATGTCAAGTAATAGGTGAATGAAATTTTCTCTGACAATATTTTGTTTTGTTTTGCAGTTGACATCACCGTTTACCACAATGGTTTCCATGGCGATCTGAACGAGACGTTCTTTGTTGGCAATGTCGACGAGAAGTCTAAAGAGTTGGTGTCTGTCACGCATCGGTGTCTAGAGTTAGCAATTGAAGCAGGTGATTTGTCAAAAATTTAACAAAGCTCTGTGTTGCCAATATACTCCAATCAAAGAATGCAAAGCATTCATGTTTAAAGTTCATGTTAGATGAACTTACAAACACATGTAGTTGTGAGTATAATGAACTTCAGTTGGTACAAAAGGTGCTGGACAGTTGAGTGGTAAATTACATTTATTTAAACCTTCTTTCATATTTTGTATACCATTACAGTCAGGCCAGGTGTCCGCTACAGAGAGCTCGGAGACATCATACAGAAACACGCTCAGGCGAACAAGTACTCGGTGGTTCGGACGTACTGCGGTCACGGCATTCATAGGTTATTCCACACCGCACCGAGCGTACCTCACTATGCAAGTAAGTAGACTGGTGCCTCAGTGATCGCAAGCATCTCTGAAGTTTATTGTAGTCAAGAAACAAGACAAGCTTAGTAAAGCTGGTCCCAGAGTGCACAGCATTCTATTCAATGGATTCAGAATGGCTTTTCACTGCATCTGGTGTACACAGCGAGCCGGATTTAGCCCATTACAGGGTAATCCTATACAATAGCACTGCCCAACAACATGCTGGCCCTCTGGGACCGGCACAAAAAAATTCGAAAAAAGGTGGTCATTGCACCACTGATTTACTACCGTTATAAAATAGCTAGTCGGTGTAGGTCATAGCATACCCAACACGTTCTTGTATAATACTGTGATAATTTGTTTTGTACACAAACTGTCCAAGCCGACAGGTTTTCAGTTTTAGTTGTCGAGGTTTCATTTTATTTAATATTTTCTCCCAGAAAACAAGGCTACGGGTGTGATGAAACCGGGACATGCATTCACCATTGAACCAATGATATGTGAAGGTAAATTACAGTAACTACATAAAAATCATGCCTTTAACTTCTTTCCAATTTCCAATGTTCCTTTAGACTAAACCAAAATTACAAGCCATAACGGGGATGTTACCACCGCGTGCATGTCGCACACGTTCTGAAAATGGCATGCGAATATGTTTACGCATAAGTGATGTCTTCTAATATAATTTTTCATGATTTGTCTGTACACATGCTGACCACATCTGTACTTTTTTTGTTCCCCTTGCCCATTCTGGAACAGGTTCCTGGAGGGACGTGACCTGGCCAGACAACTGGACAGCGGTCACTCAGGACGGCAAACGGTCAGCCCAGTTTGAGCACACGCTACTGGTCACCCAGACGGGATGCCAGATCCTTACGGCGCGGCCCGAACCCAACAGACAGCCACATTTTATGGATCAGATGTAGAAACTAAAAATATCTACCGAACTTGCAACTGTAACCTAGGACAGTACAATGTTGATTTGAAAGGTGTTGTGTAGTGCTATGTAGTTCGTACAACACTAAAGCCGGTTCATACTTCACGCGAAAGCGAAAGTATGAACCGGGCTTAAGATCCTTGTTTTCATTTATATGGACATGTGGGTCATTCCAGCATTACGTAATGTCCGTGACGAAGCTTTTAAGAGCTCAGTGAATAAACCTGAAAATGTACTTTTCAAATTGTATACATCCATAATCTAGTAATGGTCAAGGAGACTACAGACTAGGAGTTTTGGATCATTTCTCTGCATCATTAATAAGATCTCGTGGTTTAATTTGGGGCGTAGCAGTTCCTTCCTTGCCTTCCACCGCTGTGGCCTCGGGTTCGATTCTTGCCCAGGTCCAAATGTGGATTGGGTTTTTTCCCCAGAATATTCTTCTGGGGTTTTCCTCCGACCTCTAAAACTGTAATTTCTTCTCACTGTATGGCCAAAAAAAAAAAGTCTCCGGTTTCTGGTATGGAGCTTGTCCAAAAAGTGGTGCGGCGACGCGGCTTTTTTTTTTTTTTTACCTGACTTTTTTGCTTCAAATGTCGGCTGATGACTGCAAATGGTGCCCGACTAAACTTAGTGCAAATATATGGGAGTCCAGAGAGGCCACATAAAGCTTATTCTCGATCATAACCCCATCTAAAAACACGTTAAAATTGTGCAGCAGCAGGATTCCAGTCAAACCAGTGAGTTTGGCGGTTTTGAGACATCATCTTTCATTGAAAAAAAACTTTTTCATTTTGCCGACGCGCATGGCTACGGCGACGCGCGCGCATACCAGAAACCGGAGACTTTTTTTTTTGGCCTATGCTCTCTAAAGGTTTCTTCAGGCTTGCGAGCTACAGTGCCCAGGGGGCGCTTTTGAGGAATCCTTGGTTTCATTACCAGAAATAATTAATAATAATAATTGGCTGTGTCACGAACATTACACTTCCTTTCATAATGCTGAAATTGCCCACGTGTAAGAACAATTGAATCGAGCTACACATTAATTCAACTTTTTTGTGCTTGTTTATTGTGAACAATTTAAGTCCTACCACTGCACATTAATCTGTCACATTTTTAAACAAAAAGTCTGCGTTCACAAGCCTGTCCAATTGCCTGTCCAATAGCCTCAAAAGGCTTGCTTGCAGCAACTTTATGATAGGCTTGGCATGTTGAATGAACGTCCAACTGAAGACCATCAACTTACCAACAAACGTCACGAAACTACTAGGTAATTTATCTGATCTTTTCAATAAAACAATTTTTCTCTCCATGATAATCACAAAACTTAACTTAAAGGAAAAGAGTACGCCATTAAATGACTTAAGAATATGAAGTACAAAATCACTGCACTTGAATCCAATCTTTGATATAGAATCCCAAAACGTTAAGTATATAAGAAAAAAACTGGCATGTATTTTCACTATCAATAAAATTATCTGAATCATTTGGTAACGAAAACGTGTTATACTGATTCTGTTTTCTCAGTTTTGTTTAAATATTTACTTATTTTCAAACTACCTTTATCATTTTTCAAAGCACCCTTCTAAAAAGATTTCTTCAAGAAAGGAGACTAACAAAACAAAAAATATATTTATCTAGCACCCCTTGAACAAAGATATTGATTAATTGGCGAACCGCCAACATAGGGCTTGATAGCTCGGTTGGTAAGAGCACTGGAACGGTTATCCTGAGGTCGCAGGTTCATGCCCCGCTCCAGTCAATTCCTTTGTTCAACTTTTCAAAACTAAAAATAAACAGATACATTTATTATCCATTTCTAAAATGGAATACCTGTGCTGCATCTCCATTCGTCTGGAGAAACCGAAGCTTCCATGGAGCTCTTAGTTGAAATGAACGATGGCACGGATGCTATGAACAAAGTGAAATAGTGAATTTGCATTAATTTACTGGAGTATTTGAGTGATTAGAAAACAAAAACGTTCCATTTGGCCTATAGACCTGGTTCCTGTTGTAAGATCGAATTGGTGAGAATCCCTTTCGCATGATCATTGTTGGCAACTTGGCATACAATTTGTGCGAGTCCAGAAATTTTCGAGATCTGAAGGTACTATCCTAAGTAAGGTCAGTTGTATAGCTTGTGAGTTGACTTGGGACCTGATGACTTTTGACAGACTTTTGAGGACTTGTGATGGGCTCGACAATAACATGTGCAGCCTGTGTCCGAAATGGGCAAGGTACTTATTTGATTGGAGGTAAGGCTAGGTTTGGCTTTGGCTTTGGCTTTGGCTTTGGCTTTGGCTTTGGCTTTGGCTTTGGGTTTGGCTTTGGGTTTGGCTATTGAGAATCCCTTTCGCATGATCATTGTTGGCAACTTGGACGAATTTGCCAACTTTGGCTTTGGCTTTGGCTTTGGCTTTGGGTTTGGCTTTGCCAAATTTGGCTTTGGCTTTGGCTTTGGGTTTGGCTTTGGCATTGGGTTTGGCATTGGGTTTGGCTTTGGGTTTGGCTTTGGGTTTGGCTTTGGGTTTGGCTATTGAGAATCCCTTTCGCATGATCATTGTTGGCAACTTGGACGAATTTGCCAAATTTGGCTTTGGCTTTGGCTTTGGGTTTGGCTTTGCCAAATTTGGCTTTGGCTTTGGCTTTGGGTTTGGCTTTGGCTTTGGCATTGGGTTTGGCATTGGGTTTGGCTTTGGCTTTGGCTTTGGGTTTGGCTTTGGGTTTGGCTTTGGCATTGGGTTTGGCTTTGGCTTTGGCTTTGGGTTTGGCTTTGGCTTTGGCATTGGGTTTGGCATTGGGTTTGGGTTTGGCTTTGGGTTTGGGTTTGGGTAATGTAATTGTAATGGACGAAGACCTAGACAATAGTTCTAGGCATGACATTAAAATATGGCCTCAGTGGGTATTCACCAACATTAACAGCTGTCCATCTGAAGAATCAAAGCACAACTCACCTTTTGCCAGCGTGGAGCAGGTCGAATGCCTCGTTGATTTTGTCGAAGTTGACGTGGTGGGTGATGAACTCATCGACTTTGACCTTGCCAGAAAGGTAGTCCTCTACCAGCTGAGGAACACCGTCGCGACTCTTGTACCCTGTGTTTCAAAGATGGACATTGTGAAGAATATTTACAAAGTTTCAATTGAATTCGGTAACGGCATTCAAGCGTTCACCCAACTGTCTTTGACTATTGAGGGGGTACTGGGCACAGGATTCATGCTTGGATTTCAGTATAACACTCTTCGTGAAACATACCTCCAAAGGCAGTCCCCTTCCAGACCCGGCCCGTGACCAGCTGAAAGGGACGGGTGGATATCTCCTGCCCTGCCCCAGCAACACCGATGATGATGGATTCTCCCCAACCCTTGTGGCAGGATTCAAGGGCCTCACGCTGAAAATAAAACGCAGGCAAGGTACTTATTTGATTGGAGGTAAGGCCTATGGGTATGGGTATGGGTTTGGGTTTGGGTTTGGGTGTGGGTTTGGGTTTGGCTTTGGCTTTGGCTTTGGCTTTGGCTTTGGGTATTGGTATGGGTATGGGTTTGGCTTTGGCTTTGGCTTTGGGTTTGGCTTTGGCTTTGGCTTTGGCTTTGGCTTTGGCTTTGGCTTGGGGTTTGGCATTGGGTTTGGCTTTGGCTTTGGCTTTGGCTTTGGCCGGTTTGGCTTTGGCTTTGGCTTTGGCTTTGGCTTTGGGTTTGGGTTTGGCTTGGGCTTTGGGTTTGGCTTTGGGTTTTCTACAACACCGCCACGTGCTGTGGGCAGCATACTGCGTGCAAGGCGATTCCCTATAACCACGTGCATTCGACACGATTGAACAGGCGATGGAAAACTTTTGGGGGAATTGGCCTCACGCTGAAAATAAAACGCAGGCAAGGTACTTATTTGAAGACGTATGGGTATGGGTATTGGTATGGGTATGGGTTTGGCTTTGGCTTTGGCTTTGGCTTTGGCTTTGGGTTTGGGTTTGGCTTTGGCTTGGGGTTTGGCATTGGGTTTGGGTTTGGCTTTGGCTTTGGCTTTGGCTTTGGGTTTGGCTTTTGCTTTGGCTTTGGCATTGGGTTTGGGTTTGGCTTTGGCTTTGGCTTTGGCTTTGGCCGGTTTGGCTTTGGCTTTGGCTTTGGCTTTGGCTTTGGCTTTGGGTTTGGGTTTGGGTTTGGCTTGGGCTTTGGGTTTGGCTTTGGGTTTTCTACAACACCGCCATGTACTGTGGGCAGCATACTGCGTGCAAGGCGATTCCCTATAACCACGTGCATTCGACACGATTGAACAGGCGATGGAAAACTTTTGGGGGAATTGGCCTCACGCTGAAAATAAAACGCAGGCAAGGTACTTATTTGATTGAAGGTAAGACGTATGGGTATGGGTATTGGTATGGGTATGGGTTTGGGTTTGGCTTTGGCTTTGGGTTTGGGTTTGGCTTTGGCTTGGGGTTTGGCATTGGGTTTGGGTTTGGCTTTGGGTTTGGCTTTGGATTTGGGTTTGGCTTTTGGCATTGGCTTTGGCTTTGGGTTTGGCTTTGGCTTGGGGTTTGGCATTGGGTTTGGGTTTGGCTTTGGGTTTGGCTTTGGCTTTGGCATTGGGTTTGGGTTTGGGTTTGGCTTTGGCTTTGGATTTGGGTTTGGCTTTGGCATTGGCTTTGGCTTTGGGTTTGGCTTTGGCTTGGGGTTTGGCATTGGGTTTGGCTTTGGCTTTGGCTTTGGCTTTGGCTTTGGATTTGGGTTTGGCTTTTGGCATTGGCTTTGGCTTCGGGTTTGGCTTTGGCTTGGGGTTTGGCATTGGGTTTGGCTTTGGCTTGGGGTTTGGGTTTGGGTTTGGGTTTGGCTTTGGGTTTGGCTTTGGCTTTGTCATTGGCTTTGGCTTGGGGTTTGGCATTGGGTTTGGGTTTGGCTTTGGGTTTGGGTTTGGGTTTGGGTTTGGCTTTGGCTTTGGCTTTGGCTTTGGCTTTGGCTTTTGGTTTGGGTTTGGCTTTGGGTTTGGCTTTGGGTTTTCTACAACACCGCCACGTGCTGTGGGCAGCATACTGCGTGCAAGGCGATTCCCTATAACCACGTGCATTCGACACGATTGAACAGGCGATGGAAACTTTTGGGGGAATTGGCCTCACGCTGAAAATAAAACGCAGGCAAGGTACTTATTTGATTGATGGGTATGGGTATGGGTTTGGGTTTGGCTTTGGCTTTGGCTTTGGCTTTGGGTTTGGGTTTGGCTTTGGGTTTGGCTTTGGCTTTGGCTTTGGCTTTGGCTTTGGCTTTGGCTTTGGCTTGGGGTTTGGCATTGGGTTTGGCTTTGGCTTTGGCTTTGGGTTTGGCTTTGGCTTTGGCTTTGGCTTTGGCTTTGGGTTTGGGTTTGGCTTTGGGTTTGGCTTTGGCTTTGTCACTGGCTTTGGCTTGGGGTTTGGCATTGGGTTTGGGTTTGGGTTTGGGTTTGGCTTTGGCTTTGGCTTTGGGTTTGGGTTTGGCTTTGGCTTTGGCATTGGGTTTGGGTTTGGGTTTAGGTTTGGGTTTGGCTTTGGCTTTGGATTTGGGTTTGGGTTTGGCATTGGCTTTGGCTTTGGCTTTGGGTTTGGCTTTGGCTTGGGGTTTGGGTTTGGCTTTTGGTTTGGCTTTGGCTTTGGCTTTGGGTTTGGCTTTTGGTTTGGGTTTGGCTTTGGGTTTGGCTTTGGGTTTTCTACAACACCGCCACGTGCTGTGGGCAGCATACTGCGTGCAAGGCGATTCCCTATAACCACGTGCATTCGACACGATTGAACAGGCGATGGAAACTTTTGGGGGAATTGGCCTCACGCTGAAAATAAAACGCAGGCAAGGTACTTATTTGATTGATGGGTATGGGTATGGGTTTGGGTTTGGCTTTGGCTTTGGCTTTGGGTTTGGGTTTGGCTTTGGGTTTGGCTTTGGCTTTGGCTTGGGGTTTGGCATTGGGTTTGGCTTTGGCTTTGGCTTTGGGTTTGGCTTTGGCTTTGGCTTTGGCTTTGGCTTTGGCTTTGGGTTTGGCTTTGGGTTTGGCTTTGGCTTTGTCATTGGCTTTGGCTTGGGGTTTGGCATTGGGTTTGGGTTTGGGTTTGGGTTTGGCTTTGGCTTTGGCTTTGGGTTTGGGTTTGGCTTTGGCTTTGGCTTTGGCATTGGGTTTGGGTTTGGGTTTGGGTTTGGGTTTGGCTTTGGCTTTGGATTTGGGTTTGGCTTTGGCATTGGCTTTGGCTTTGGCTTTGGGTTTGGCTTTGGCTTGGGGTTTGGGTTTGGCTTTTGGTTTGGCTTTGGCTTTGGCTTTGGGTTTGGCTTTTGGTTTGGGTTTGGCTTTGGGTTTGGCTTTGGGTTTTCTACAACACCGCCATGTGCTGTGGGCAGCATACTGCGTGCAAGGCGATTCCCTATAACCACGTGCATTCGACACGATTGAACAGGCGATGGAAAACTTTTGGGGGAATTGGCCTCACGCTGAAAATAAAACGCAGGCAAGGTACTTATTTGATTGGAGGTAAGGCGTATGGGTATGGGTATGGCTTTGGCTTTGGCTTTGTCATTGGCTTTGGCATTGGGTTTGGGTTTGGGTTTGGGTTTGGCTTTGGGTTTGGCTTTGGCTTTGGCTTTGGATTTGGGTTTGGCTTTGGCATTGGCTTTGGGTTTGGCTTTGGCTTGGGGTTTGGGTTTGGGTTTGGCTTTTCGTTTGGGTTTGGCTTTGGGTTTGGCTTTGGGTTTTCTACAACACTGCCACGTGCTGTGGGCAGTATACTGCGTGCAAGGCGATTCCCTATAACCACGTGCATTCGACACGATTGAACAGGCGATGGAAAACTTTTGGGGGAATTGGCCTCACGCTGAAAATAAAACGCAGGCAAGGTACTTATTTGATTGGAGGTAAGGCGTATGGGTATGGGTATGGCTTTGGCTTTGGCTTTGTCATTGGCTTTGGCATTGGGTTTGGGTTTGGGTTTGGGTTTGGCTTTGGCTTTGGCTTTGGCTTTGGCTTTGGGTTTGGGTTTGGGTTTGGCTTTGGGTTTGGGTTTGGGTTTGGCTTTGGCTTGGGGTTTGGCATTAGGTTTGGGTTTGGGTTTGGCTTTGGGTTTGGCGTTGGGTTTTCTACAACATGCCACGTGCTGTGGGCAGCATACTGCGTGCAAGGCGATTCCCTATAACCACGTGCATTCGACACGATTGAACAGGCGATGGAAAACTTTTGGGGGAATTGGCTTCACGCTGAAAATTAAACGGGTTTGGCTTTGGGTTTGGGTTTGGCTTTGGCTTTGGCTTTGGCATTGGGTTTGGGTTTGGCTTTGGGTTTGGCTTTGGGTTTGGCATACTGCGTGCAAGGCGATTCCCTATAACCACGTGCATTCGACACGATTGAACAGGCGATGGAAAACTTTTGGGGGAATTGGCTTCGCTGTATCAGTGTAATGTACCGCTTCTTGTGCGACCCTGTGCGAGCAGTACGTCCTCAAAATAAGTACATGAAAACGGAAAATACAAAGGCCCACACAGAAAAAAGAAATCAAGTTCTTTGCATGAGATTGCAAAGGTCTTCTACATCGATGTTGGCATGCCATTTTCGCGATGTCAATAGCCGATCCAGTAAGCCCCTCCCACTGCGCACGTGGGCAACTTAATACGTGTTCCTCTCCAATGCCACACTGCATTTTCCTATGCTGCACACATGTACATGTAACACCAACGCGCGGGGAAACTTGCCAGGATCGCATCGGGGAAAACAGCGGCGGTTTTCATTTGAAAATAGGGATTGTAAGTACCGGTAGGACAACAACAAACAAAAATACGGACGGAAACGTTACTACTCATGCTAGAGGTTTGATATGAAAAGGTGTCAGGAAGTGTTTTGTGAAGACATGAAAGACAAAATGTCTTGTTTATCTTGTCGGAAGCATCAGCGATTGGTGTTGCAGTCTGGCGTTAAAAAATGGGTTGGCTTTACTGCAAGCACTCCCAAAGCAGAAGTAATATATGTATGGCATTATTGCTTGGCATATATACAAGCTACTTTTATGGGGTTTTTTGGCAGCAACTTGAAACTTAACTTTGAGAATACACTTTTGTTGTTAAAAAAAAGTTTTTTTTCCCACCTTTTTATTTCATTGCATATCACCACCGAATATTCTTATTCGAAAATAAATATTCGATTATCGATCGAATATTCGAATATTCGAATATTCGGCACAGCCCTATGGGATGGGTTGGGTTGGGTTGGGTTGGGTTGGGCTGGGCTGGGCTGGGCTGGGTTGGGTTGCACTGGTTGGGCTGGGTTTGGGTTGGGGTTGGGTTTGACTGGATTAGGCTAGGCTGGGCTGGGTTGGGGTGGGGTGCGCTGAGCTAGGCTGAACTGAGCTGGGTTTGGTTGGGTTTGGTTGGGCTGCCGGGGTTAGGTCTGATCATGGAGCTATGTTAGGACTGTACTCAGCTGGACTGAGCTCAGCTATATTGCAGTTAGTTGGCTATACATTTCGGGTTAAACAGGATTGGGATGAATAAATATTAAAAGATCATCTCCTTACCATAGTCTTGACATTCCCAATGCACTCAAATGTATAATCCAGTCCACCATCGGTCATCTCACTGAGTACTTGGGGCATGGGCTTGTCAAAGTTCTTAGGATTGACAAAATCCGTGGCTCCGAACTGCTTGGCTACAAAAACGAAAAAAACAAAATGTAGTATTTGAAATTTGATACCGTCATAAATTCATGAATCAAGTTCATATATTTGTGAATCACTTGTGATGTATCTGTGATCCTTCGCAAGAACCTCGACTACAACGCAGTCTACTGAACATGGTCTCTTACCCAAAGCGTCCTTGTCAGGATTGATGTCAATTCCAATGATCTTAGTGGCCCCGGCAGCCTTGCATCCCATGATAACAGCCAGGCCAACGCAGCCTAGCCCCCAGACCGCACAGGTAGACCCAGGCTCCACCTGCAGAAGGAACCACAGCCCCCCAAAAAATTCACATTCAGTCTTGTGTTTGTAAACTCACTGCTATAGGCTAATCCGGTGTTACTCCAAGACAGTGCCATCTCACAAGCATGTCACACACGTTCTTAACTTGAGCCTGCTTATAAGTTGAAAACCTTATAGGTTGAAGGCACCTTGAGTGAGTGCAAACCAACTGCGCGAAGAATTTTCTTAATTTTATTTTACCTTAGCAGTGTTCAGTGCAGCACCATATCCTGTGCTGATACCACATCCAAGCAGGCACACTTTATCCAATGGGGCCTTCTCATTAACCTGAAAAAAAATATACAATAAACTAAATTATTTACAAGCTAATCCTTTCCATACAGGGTAAAAGGATACATGTGCTATGGCTGTTTTAATTGCAAATATGAATTCCTTTCTATTTACAATGCCAAATTCCATCTTCTGTATTTACGGCACCCTAAACTGGACAAAATCTTACTGCAGCGCGAGAAGAAATTGACATACCTTGGCCACAGATATCTCAGGCAGCACGGTGTACTCGCTGAAGGTGGAAGTGCCCATAAAGTGGGCCACTTCTTTGCCCTTGCAGGTGAAGCGGCTGGTCCCATCAGGCATCACACCCTTACCCTGGGTCAACCTGGAAGCCAACAAAAACTGTCAGACTGGTTTATCATTTTCGTTGCATTCAGACAAAGGAAGACTATATCCAAAATGCACAATTTCTCATTTAGACGCTAGAAAGATTCCACTTTGGGAATTCAAACACACATAACTTCAAGACAATGACATAAGTTTACATGTTGCTCGAATTTATAAAAATTACTTGTTCACAATCTTTTGATTTTGGGATTAGAGCATCAGAAATTGCCTGTTATTAAATATAAGATACATCTTGCGAAGTATATTTTTTGGTGCTTGGGTGCTACCTTTAAAAACGTGTGAAAGTTCAAACAAATTTCTATGAATTTAAGATCTTTCATTTATCCTGGCATTTAAACAAGATCAGAAAATTTGTATCTGCTTTAGTTTCAAAATAAAACTATCAGGAAATTGGCCAGCTTCAGTAGGGAGGTGAATCGCTATCTGGGCGACAAGCCCTCAGCAGTCTCTATTAGTCAATAATGTTTCTTGCTGTTAAGGCCCAGATATGCCTTGTGTAAAAATATATATGTAAAATTTTAAAAATACATATTTAAAAAAAAAAATTTAAAAATACATATTTAAAAAAAAAGGATTTATATTTTATTGAACTGTACATTTCACAAAAATAAGAGAGGGACATCATTTTTTGAAAACGGGAAATTGAAATAAGTCTGTGTTTCAAGACTTTGGCTATGGGCTAGCAGTAATGTACCTATGGAAATGTCCACTTCCATGTGCGATTGCTAGCCACAGCCATCTAGCCACAGCCAAAAATATCATCTTATAATAGCCACAGCCAATTAATATGGATACGGCTCAATTTGAAAAGATGAACCAGTTACACGTACCTGATTTTCTGACAAAGATTGGTCTTGGGGCTCTTGCAGAACTTGCACTCCCGACACTGGGGGACGTACATGGGTACCACGTGGTCCCCGACGGCCAAGGACGTCACCCCGGGGCCCACGCTCTCGACGATCCCCCCTCCCTCGTGACCCAAGATGCAGGGGAACTTGCCCTCGGGGTCAATGCCGCTCAGGGTGTAGGCATCGGTGTGGCAGACGCCCGTCGCCAAAATCTATGAAAAGAAGATTGCATTTTAAAAAAGGTAAGTAAAGTCCGAGATATCTTACAAAATCGACCCATCACACAACAACACTTCAAGTTTCATGAATTCATCATTGAATAAATACAATGTTATGTGATGTACTCACCTTGACTCGGACTTCTCCATCCTTGGGCACGCCCACTTCCACCTCCTCAATACTCAATGGCTTGCCCGCCTCCCAGGCAACAGCTGCCCTGCACTTGATTGGCTGCAAAAAAATGAAAATAATTACCACGGCATAACTCATGAATATTTGATAAGGTTTAGACTTTGTTCACTCATAATGCAAAACTAATATGCATTTCTCCTAGCTGGAGTTACCCAGCCCTGACTTTTATCATTGGGTTGTCTATTAGGGCTGGAGCGAATTTTTCTCGTAACTTGTAGTATAGGCAAAAAATTATGGAAAATGTTCAATTTTGTCCCCGTTACACACTAATTGCAACAGCAAAACACACTAATTGCAACTGCAACTCACCCCAAACTTGCCTGGAATAACCATTACACAGGTCCTTGAAGTAAAAAACGATCCACGATGAAGATTCAGCCTACAATTGCAATGAAAACAGGAGGAATAACTGCTAACTTGACAACCTTGCTGGATCGGCCAGGACCGCAATTGGTTTGTGCACAAAAAAAATTGTGTACAATGAATGGCGGTCGATTAACAGGCACAGAGAGCGATCGCTGTCAACTACTCGTTTTTGCCGGCTGCGCTGGCTGTTGGCGCATGACGTCACGCGGAAGCGTAACACCCGATGACTGTTTCATGCACTAATATAAGGTTTACCACTCGCATCACAGCTTTGGTACTGGAACCGCAACCAATAGTGCATGAAACAGTCATCGGGTGTTACGCTTCCGCGTGACGTCATGCGCCAACAGCCAGCAAAACCGAGTAGTTGACAGCGATCGCTCTCTGTGCCTGTTAATCGACCGCCATTCATTGTACACAATTTTTTTTGTGCACAAACCAATTGCGGTCCTGGCCGATCCAGCAAGGTTGTCAAGTTAGCGGTTATTCCTCCTGTTTTCACTGCAATCGTAGGCTGAATCTTCATCGTGGATCGTTTTTTACTTCAAGGACCTGTGTAATGGTTATTCCAGGCAAGTTTGGGGTGAGTTGCAGTTGCAATTAGTGTGTAACGGGGACAAAATTGAACATTTTCCAAAAAATTTTGCCTATACTACAAGTTACGAGAAAAATTCGCTCCAGCCCTAATAGACAACCCAATGATAAAACTCAGGGCTGGGTAACTCCAGCTACATTTCTCCAGAAAATTCAACAAGTTCACAGACAATTTTATACTACTAGTAGTACTAGAGATTTCAGCAACCTAGCTTTTCTGTGATATTCAATCATATTTAGACAATTCAAGTATTTTATAAAAAAAGTCACTGAATTTAAATAACAAAACGCATAGTGAGGGCGCCCTGCGCAAGCCCCATTATTGAGCACTTGCATGACTTGCAGTTGCAATCTGCTCTTGAACTTTGATTAGTTTAAATAAAGTTTAAGAAGATTAATGTGGCCTTTGGGTGGGCAGTTACTAAGTGCATTTTACCTCTTGAAAACTCTGGCTGTGGAAAAAGCCAAAAAACTAAATAATTGTGACTTACTTTACCAGTAGTTTCTGCCATTGTAGTTAGTTAGTAGGAACTGGAGAGTATCTGCTGAAGAAGACCCGGGAAATACCTTACGTCATTGACTGCCCGCGTGGCCATGTGCGAGCGCAGCGTAAGAGGTTGTGAAGGTGTAGTTCATGTACAGGGATAGGTTGCTCCTTCCCACTCGTACCCACGGCCACTGCCTTATCGCAGTCATTTTTGAAACCTCGGATTCGTTTCGCCTCCGGCTTAAGGAGATTTTAGGATCTCAACTTTGGGGACTCCAGCAAAATTTTGGAGCCTTCTGTGATTCAGGAACATGTAATTCTATGATGTGAGGCCTAATATTAGAATATTTCCATATAGTTTGCTTCCCAGTAATTCGAAATTTGGTGATAGAGCCGAAGACGAAGACGACCCGAATGTTTCGAATATTGAACACGTGGGTCCGAAGGTCGGAACTGGACATCTGACGCTAGATGGCGCTGTTTGGGCAAGATGATTTTAAATTTAGCCAGTGCGAACACTCCCCCCCCCCCCCCTTCACACATACATGTTTGCAAAAATCCGCATTTTGTTCCCCATTTCGGCTGCTTCAACCTTTTGTTACCATGATTTACCGTATTTCTACTGTCTATGGGCGATACCAAACTGAAAACAGGGTGGATGAAGTTATTTTAAGCACGTCATGTGTAATGAATATTTTCAGAAGCTCTTTTATAAATCGATTTCACTTTGTTAAATCCTTTTTATTCAATTTAAAAAAAAAATACAAACATTTTCAGTATTTTTTTTTCTCAAGGACCTGAATCATTGCATATTATGGCAATGGAGTTATTTTTGAAGTCAGATATCAGCTGATCGACCACACGCACAGCTCATGCACATTCATTTCTTCACTCGTACCCCTTACTTTATGCTAGGGCGTACGGTTACCGCTAAATTTTCTGAGCTCTCATTGGACAGATTTCTGTATTTGACCCAGGTCAACGATCCTGCGTGTATACGACTGGTGCTCAATTTACCCACAACCCTTTGCGAAAATTCTGTGGCCTTCCCGAGATTTAAAGATTAGCGGTCACCAATGCTCTTGGCGAGTGGTGACGAGACTGCGAATCGCGATCACGTCATGTAGCGCTACGTACGTAAATAAATATATACACACGGTTACCGTATCGCCGCGCCGACTGCATTGCACTACGCATACACGTTGACATGGCTGCTCTCGCAGGATCTGGCGAAATTATTCCAAATTTCTTGGCCGGTGGTAAGTCTTTTCGGAAACTTTGCCGTTAACTTCATGAATCACTTGATAATGTAAACTATGTTTTATTAATTAGATCGATTTCTATCGAAATAAACGCTTTAAAACAGTAGTTTTATTGATGTAAAGTAAGGTAAAGACGTTTGACAGCTGCGAATGGCGAAGCATCACGCACTGAACGCATGGACACTTCGCCGGTCGCCGGATATGTGTGCAGAATCCGGGACCGGTTTTCGTGGATTTGATTGGAATGTAGGCCTACTTGGTAAACTTGAACTTAAAAAAAAATTGTGCAAACATGAAAATAGTGGCTATCTTTACGGCAGACGACGATCTGGTTCCCCAACATACCCAACCCGTGCAGATGGTCAATTATCAGACCTAATCAGGAAAATGTTGCTCTTGGAACCAGACTATCTGACAGAAGGCCTAGGCCCAACCTCGTCCCCAGTGCTTACTTTATTTCCAACCGCGTTTCCAATAGTAAACCCTGGATAGGAAACTTTCTTCCTGTATCCTGATTGGATACCGCAACTGGCTAGTAATGGATTTTTATCGTGTACTTGGTGCTATATATTCACAATGTGCAGTACGTGTTTTTCGCGATCATTCGTCCACGCCTTCTCGAAAATACTAATTTCCTTTCCAATTTGCTCATATTAATATGAAATACGATACTGCATGTTGTCTCGATAAGACCGTAACAGTTTGATTTCAAAAATAGCGTTTTCGTAACTCACGCTGTGCTTGCGCTGCTACGAATTGACTCTGTTTTTACCCCAGACACTGCATACAAAAACAAACGCTAATGTGTAGCGAATATCCAGGTACCAGACTGTTCCTCATTTGCATACGTGTTCAAAAATCTTGCACATGCAAATGATCCAATACCAGGGTGAGAGAGCAGGTAGTGGTGGGCGCATACTGCTCGACACCCTGGGGACGAGGTTGGGCCTAACCCATGTAAATAAAGTAGTCTGGTTCCAAGAGTGAAAGATCCCGAGTATTGTCAATGTGAGGTCGGGCATGTCATGCATGTCGGGGGAACCAGATGGTCAACGACGACAACTGCCGTAACGATAGCCACTGCGAACATAAAATGTGGTTCTCATGTACAAAAGCATTTGTACAACGAAAACATGGCGATTTAGCTCCAGTCTAGGGGGCAGGGCCAGACCAGACCACTTAATGTTTATTAAGTTGCTCCAGCTTGTGCAAAAAGTTGATGGTACCATGATGGTACCCTTTTCAAATATCAACATTTTCAATGTTATCGATGTCACAGTGAAATTGTCATCTTGAGTATTTATTCACTGATATTTACATTTTCATTTGAATGTTTTTGCCCCATTTAGGAATTGCAGGATGCTGCGGAAAAGTAACAACAGCCCCATTAGACAGAGTAAAAATTCTATTACAGGCTCACCACAGATACTACAATCATCTCGGTAAGATTACGAAACAGTACAGTATAAAAACAATGCAAACCTCATCTAGATATTTTTACAAGTGATTTCAACTTTCAAATGTACATATATATGACTTGTATGTAGTGCATGAAACCGCAAACATGGTTACCTATTTATAATTGGTTCTGACAGCCTATTCACCTTTATCATGCTGCCACCATTTCAGTCATGTTACCTGTATCCAATAATGGTAATGAATGATAATGTATTTTGTGCAAAAAGGAACCAGACTATTTTCCCTGCCAGCCTCGCTTTTGTCACGTTGATTTGAATGGGACAAAATCAAGATGACTTGCAACACTATTCCAGGGATAGAGGGAGAGAAATGCACCAAACAAAAAAATTGAATTTTGTCACAAGCAGATTTATACATCACAATCAAAATTGTTAAACCATTATTATTTACTCTTTTAGGTGTTTGGTCTTCGGTTGCTAAAGTCATAGAGTATGAAGGAGTACGGGGACTCTACCGAGGCAATGGGGCCATGATGGTGCGCACCTTCCCTTATGGTGCTATACAGTTTGTTGCATACGACTGGTTCAAAAAGGTACGTTAAAACTGAATGTCAATAAAAACTGGATGCAATTAAAACTGGATGTAATTAAGACAAGCTCATCGGACGCAATACTTCAATTAAAGGACTCACCCCTTTTTATATTGTGTCATTCAAGAGTTGATTTTTAAATTAAATATTTTCAATATTTATCGGGCCTCGTCTTTTTTTCCCCTCAGAAAACGAAACGGAAATTGTTGTCCGGTTCCCTAGCAGGTAAGAACCTTAGTTTGTTGCGAGCTTTTATCAATTGGCAGACCTTCAAGCTTTTTTATAGGCTTATCATAATGGAATGGAGTTGACACAATTCACCTGTTTAAGCATTTTCAGACTGGAGACAAAGAGTTGCGCCAAATTTAAAAGTACTAGTAGCAGCGCAAGACAACCCAAATAAAGTTTTACTTCAGACAGGTAAACTTATCCATTTACAATGCACTAGACTTTGGAGTCATCTTATTGTTTTGACACCTTTTGTCATTGTCTGTGACTTTTGCAGGTGTAACGGCCGTGCTATTCACATATCCACTAGACATCGTGAGAGCTAGACTAGCTTACCAAGTCCAAGGAGAGTGTTTGTACAGAGGAATTCTGCACACTTGCCAATCCATATGGCATCAGGTAAGATACAGTAGAACACTGCTATGACAAAACAGTGGATATTTGTTGTCCTGGTTCACGGGCCACATTTAATACCGACAGGTTTTATAAAGATGCTCTCAGTAGTGTTGAAATGGTAATTTGAAACCACCCATGTGATGGGCTCTCAGCCAATTGGAATGCTCTTTAGGGAGGTATTGATGAATTTAACATTTTTCTGATGTCTTTTCAACAGGAGGGCCAGTTGAAAGCACTTTACCGCGGAGTTGGTCCAACACTACTCGGAATGGTGCCTTATGCTGGTAAGTATCACAGCAGAATGATTTCTTCTCTTGAAACATATTATTCTGTAACAACAATCAGGCAGAATAATTAATTTGGTCAAGTTTGTAAAAAACAAAGAATTTGTACATTCATTGTTTTGACTTCGGTCCCTTGAAGTCCAAGTGTATTACACCAGTAGCTTCAAATTATTTGGCTTGACACTCTCAGCAACGGATTATTTAAACTATGTGCACAACGGTTGTTACAATTCTTAAAGAGCCTGTTTTATCTTGTATTTTTACAGGTGCAGCGTTCTATTCTTATGAAACGGGTAAAGCCTATGTACTAGTCAAAGGACCGACCTACCTATCAAAGCCATCTCTTGCCGACCCCAATGAAAGAATATTGACCGCACAGGCCAATCTTGTCGTAGGTGGACTTGCTGGGGCGTTTGCCCAAACCATTGTGTAAGTTTAATTCATCCTTACATCAATGTTTCTCTCCTTTTTTTGTTGAGAACAGCACTTTTTAGAACAAACTTCACAGACCGATTTTGTTTTTGAGTCTGAAATCACAGTGATTGTGCTACACACCCAAGCAACATGTACATGTACAAGTACAAAACGATCTGGTGAACAATGTTATGTAAAGTTTATTGTCTTTAAAACATACCTTGATAGTGGTTACATGGCCCTTTTCAATGCAATGAACTGCTTCGGATGCCGCAATAAGCCCCGCCCACCTGTGGTATTGTGTACATTTCTCACAGTGCTTGTGACTGAGTTTGACCCAGCCTTTGTGATCAGCTGACCAAGAGCTGTGATACGATTGGTCAATGCAGATTGTTTGACAGGAGGGAAGGCTCCATTTTATGGGTTGCTATTTTTCCTACAACTCCGGCTTTGTAATTTGTTGACAATATTTGCTTTTTTGTTTTTCGATTCAGATATCCCTTGGATGTTGGAAGGAGAGTTATGCAACTTGGCACAATGGTACCAAATTCAAATCCAACCAGGTAAACACAAGTTAATGCTCATTTTTGTGTTTTTTTTACACAATTATTGCAGTTTGTCCTTGCCTTAGCGTGGTATAATGAATGCACACAGGTTGAAGATTTTTTTGGTTTCCTTAGAAAAGTCATAAAAAAGTTATAAAAAAAGGAAAATCAAGTCATACAATTTAGTCTGAAGAAGTGCTGCTGATTTACATGGAACTTACAACTTAAAGTAATGATATCAAACCCAAGTATCTTAATTGTCAATTTTTGTTTTAACATGCAGTTCGTGCCTCGAGACCCTGATCCTGGTTTACACAAAGCACGGTGCACAAGGACTCTTTCGGGGTGTCAGCATCAACTACTTGAGAGCTATACCCGCTGCCGCCATCTCCTTTACCCTTTATGAAAATCTTAAGCAGTACCTCAGCATCCATTTAGACAACAGGTGATGAACAGCATAATACCAGTTTGTAAATTTATTTGCATTTTTACGTCCCAACCCTATTCATTACCAGTACATACATGTGTAAATGCCATGACCTTTAGGTCACATGTGGAAATACATACTTGTCTCCATTGCCTGAGATGTTTTTGGTGTAAACAATGTGTTCAAAGTCCCGGCTAGCAGGGGATATTAAGTGCTTCCATTTTTATTCAGCTTTGTTTCACTTTCCCTTTAAAGAATCCTTGATTCTTTTTAATTGTTTTTATTATTAACAATTATGTAACAGTCTTTTGTGTACTGAAAGAATTTGGCTTGATTTTTTTTATTTCAAGATGATAGCACCTCAGGCTCATATGAAAACTATTTAAAAAAAAAACAGCAACACTATTTATAAACATGGGAATCCTATCTCATCAGAAATTTTTTTTTTTAAATAAATAATTGTAAGGTTTTGTACAATTGTCACTGTGTAAATTATGCATGGTTTCATGTTTGTCAAAACATTATTGCAAGTAATAAGAGCTTTTTAAGTATTTATAAGTGCAATATAATTTTTAAGGTATGTAAACCACATCAAAATGTTAAAATACTTAATACTCGTTCCAATAGAAGCTACACTGTTCATTGGTCCGTTATTGGCAGCAAATTTGCTTGCTCTTTTTATGAAGATCATAGTTTTCATATAAATTAACATACTCCATGTATGAATCAAACAATGTCAAGCTTGTAATACATTTTGAGACATGCTGTACATAAAGACTCATTTATTCAAAACAAAATTGAGAATTAAAGGATTGTGTACTTTTGTTTGTAGTCCATCACAGTTTACCTTTTAATATTCCCCTTTTTGCCTCAATAAACATTTGGAGAATTTTGTCAGCGAAAGAGGGAGCAAAGTGGGTCAGATTTTTGTTATGTATGTTTTTCTGCATTCAGGGTCCCAGTCTGATGTTGCATTATACTGTCTTAGGGTCTTTTAAATTATTAGCAAAACATTCACTTTCAGGGGCCAACTTCATAAAAAGCTAAACAATAAACACAGAGTTTTGCTTAGTAGCACAGAAACAGGTTTGCTCGAGAAATAACACAAGGCTACCAGACAAAATATCAAAATGTTATACGTTATTTGATTACGCATACCTTCCTCGTCATAGGTCACAATTTAAAAAGTGTGTCTGTCGCTTCTGTCAATGCTGATGTGTTGCTTCACACCCTGGACAAGCACTTTGGCAGCCTGTAAACAATCGGGACAGTCTGATTTGGTCAAATTTGGTTCACTTCACTCGAATTCAGTCAAATGCAATACATTTTTCATTCTTTCAATTACAAATTTATGTAGTTGAATGAGGCCAAGTCAATAAAAAATAGTTTCCTCATCTGGGCTTTTTGAAAACAAAAGGGAGGCAACCTTGGTTTTTGTTCCTAAGATGGCAGATTTTTGGATTCTTCAATTTTCTTGAACTCTTTTGCTGATATTTTTGTGTCCAAAGGAGACGTCACCCTTTCTACCAAAGTTTGAACTTGCATACATACCTACAATTTTGCTAGAAATATATAAAAAGACCAAATATATTGCAACGGACGATTAAAAAAAAAAAATATCAGGCGAGTGGGAAAAAAAGGAAGCAGACACGGACAAGAAAATATTTTTATTTTTTTTAACTGGTCTTACATGTGTGTACATAACTGTTTCATTCATACATACTTGCATCTTGAATCTGGCCTCTCAGTCTCTGGACGACACCTTGGATTATCCCCTTCATAACTCCCTTGTGTTTGGCCTCACCAACCCCCTCGTCACTCGTCATTACTGGTGGTTTAAACAGCGCCCTCCAGCTCAACGGTCTGGTAGTGCCATCATCCTGATCCTCGCAATCCCAGATCACCCTGGCAACTGGGAAGATGAAAGGCTTGACAAGTTCGTGACCCCATATCATCCAGAAGTCCCGTATTGCTGCAGGGACCGGGTCATGATTCTAGAGAAAAGAACATACATGTATTCAAAATTACAAGAACTGAAGAAGATATTAAAACAAGATCATTATGAATATGCGTTACGGAAGCTTCGACATGTTCGAAGCAAACTCAGCCAAACAGTGCCAATTTCATTACATGAGCCAACTCGTACGCTACTTGACAACCCATGTGGATTAGAAAAATGTCAATCTTCAATTTTTTTACTTTAAAAAAGGGCAATTTCAACATTCTAACTTACACATTCCCAACAAGCGACTCGTCTAGAACGTCAGCTTAAAATTACCGCGCCGCGCACGTGTAGTCTGGTATTCTGTTATGGTTTGACACGTCTCAAGCAAAGTACAAAGTCCGGCGGAAGCCAGACTGTAGCGTGCCACATATACATGCGCATGCACAAACGGAACACAATCACACAAAAATAAACGCCACTCACTTATCCGATTAACCGTTAATACATTTGAAAAAAATGTGTGTATGACATTATGTCATTTTTAGACCACATCTTTCACGTGAATGACACTAATGTACACTGAATCCAACATGCACTGTTTATAATAATTAAATTCCTCCACACTGACATGTAGCACTGGTGGTTCAGTGGTAGAATTCTCGCCTGCCACGCGGGAGACCCGGGTTCAATTCCCGGCTAGTGCAAGATTTTTTTTTCTTCTTTTAAAAATCAATTTTGCTTTTATTATTTTAAAGGCAAATGTTAATAATGCATGGGAATTTCTTCTCATCAAAATATGTTTTTCTTTTCTCACATTTTTTTTTTATTATAATACAAATTATGCTATTATAAGCAATTAATTATGCAGGCCTATGGCGAAATGATCACTGTTCAGTTTTAATAAAATAATATATGTATCAATGTGTTATATCATGTTAAAATAGAGTTAAAGATCAAATTAAAAACTTACTCTGAGAAGTTGTTCTGTTTTCTTAAATTCCTGTGAGAGGCATTTCTCCGAGAGAAGATGTTTGATCAAAACTAAAAACCTTTCTCTATCCTGGTCGGTCAGATAAGACATGGTTTCATCAACAGCTCGGTGGAAGATTCCATTCTGTAGTCCCGAGACTGAAAAGTCGTCATACCGCTGTCGATAAAAAAATAAGTAGAAAACAGATTTCCAAAAAAATTTGAGTTGATCAAGTTGTTTTAAAGTCAGGATAACCCTTCCGTTTTATCTAAAATTTGAGTGATTTTCACTCTGCCGCTGATCGTCCGGTGCTTCGTTTCACTCGACTCCCATGATCGATTGGGATTGACACAATTAATGATTATTAAAAAACATTAATTTTTGATAACTCAGTGATCATTTCTGAATATGTATGATGTATAGATGAATAAAAATAAGACTTACAAGTATGTCATGCAAGGGGGCGTGGCCGTTACTGTTCTCCCCGCCCCTCAGAGGGACTATTGACTTTCTTATCTTGTTGCATAAAGAGGCTATCATCATTGGGTCGGTCGAGTTGTCCAGAACCACAAAATGCTGTCGGAAAGATGAATAACATTGAAATGAAAGAAAACCCAACAAAATGAAATCATCCAGTTACCTATATTTCATAATTTTTACGATAATTTTTTTTTCACTACCTAATAGGCCAATATACTTTGGTAAAAAGATAAGAATTTAGTAATCAAGTTACTGTTTTGATAAAATGATGGAATATTCAAACTTACGGGAAAACGAAAGTGTTTTGCTGGCAAATCCTTCAACATTGAAGACAGTAGTTGAGCATAGTGCTGACTCAATCCTTCCTTAGTACCACTTCGATAAATGGTGAACTGAACTACACGAAGAGTGGACCTGCAGATGCAGAAAAAGTGTGGAAATGCTGAATACAGTCTAGTCCTACATGTATTTTTATCGACACTGAATTAGCGGCAACACAACTTTGGACAAAGCAACACATTTTACAAAAGAATTTACCTCTTGTTATCGGGCGCGAGAGTCACTATCGCTTGATGGCTCTTGGTCAGTTTCAAACTGTGATCGCTGAGAATCATGGGAGTCACGTGACGACCTGTTGTAGTGGATGCGTTGTCAAGGAGACATGCTTTCCTCAGAATATCGGTCATGAACGGAAATGATAAAATTAGGTGTTCGGTTTCCTTTTTGATGGAGAAACTCTTGATCGCCTGTATGGGAAGAGTAAAATGCAAAAGAGAGTTGCTCGCTATGGTAAATTGGCCATATCGTTAATTCAAAGTTGGAAACTATCAAAATTTGCGAAGCTTGACATTTTTTAAATAAAATGTCACTGAATTTATATACAAGAGTTATAATTTGTGATCGCGTTCCAGATACGACCAAAAAAAAGAATGTTTATAATACACACCTGTTGTACATTATCGGGAAGACATCCAATAACATCCATTGTAAGGTTGCACTCAGTTGCCTCTTGCGTATAAACTGCTGCTCTTTTCTCTCCCATATTTCCATCTACATCCTTCGTTAGTTTTTCTTTTGGTGGACAGGGATCACTTCTAAGGTCACATGTTCTCGGCTGATAGTTCTTTTCAGGTTCCGAATGATCAGCTATCACAAGTTCTTTGGCGTGGATGTGTAAGAAGTCATCTTTCCTTGAACCGAACATGGTGTCCACATCTCGATTTTTGACAGACTTGTTACGGCTTAAGTTGCGGCTGTCAAGTTCGTTGAAGAGGACAAAAGTTTGACAACTTGAATATTGTTTTAATACATTGTGCATTTCAATTAACAAGGCTACAGAACATATAAATCATCTGTATTCTCAAAAAATGTATTTCAAGTTATAAAAACCTTGCAGCAAACTTCTTATGGACTTGACAGATTTTAAACATAGGTGTTAAATTGAGAAATTCTGAAGATCCAAGCCGAATCTATATGTAAAGACCTATGAGAAATAAATATTCTACTAGGATTAAAGCTGGGGGTTTTTTTAACCAAGAAGTGTAGACATTTGACCTTCGTATGTATAATTCAAACACCAATCGCATACACTTCAAAGTTTACGTGTCGTCAATATTGATCACAATTTCCTAAAATTAATATCATCTCTGTTGGTCCGTCTCACCAACATCCGCGGCTTGTTATGTGTTTGTCCGTCATATAATTTGGCCATCTACCTGTCTGTCTGTCTTTCTTACCTTGTGGCTAGGATGTGATTCCACGACGCCGTGAACGTCCGAAGGATCTCTGCACTTTCTACCAAGATAGACTCCATAATGCCGCTGCGTCGAGTCCTCAAATGGAGTCTCTAGTTAACTTGCTCAGTGCAGATACAACACACACTATACCTATCTTTTCAACCGTTTCAGAAAAATTGTAACAGGGTTTGCGCTCTCGTATAGATCTAATATCAGTGTAGCATAATTCGAATTAGCCGATGACCATCCAGAAAATGTTGAAATAAAGATGGTACAGTACAGAATTTGGTTCACTGATTCATCTAAATTCGCATAGTAGTTGGGCACATCCTATATATATATCTCAGAATTAAAGGTAAAACTCTCACTTGCTAGCGCGTGTATGGAGGACTAATCTTTTGTGGTCAAAACAGTGGGAAAAGTCAGCCATTGATCTTAGACTACCAGTAGCTATCACCAGCTGTGTTGTTGCGGGATGTCAATGCGAAATCGATACCACTTGATGCAGCGCTGAACCGATCGAATAATCGCACGGGGAGAAGGGGGCGGCAGGCGGCCGACAACAAACGGGGCGAAAATTGTTGTTAATCTCTCGGACATGGCATAAATTTCAAACCGGAAGCGAAGACGAGAACAGTGCCACTTAAGTAATGAACAAAGTTTGTCAGGGGAAGTTTAGTTCAAACTCTATGGTTCAAATAAGTTCTTTCTTTGGGGAGGGGCGTGGAATTGGGATGGTCTAAAATTAATTTCCACACAAATGAAGTTTACACCTGAAAATTCAGTTCTTTGGGGCAAATCGATCTTGACAAAACCATACGTGTGTTCATTTGAGGAATTTGAACCGGGGTAGGAGAAATGTCCCAAATCCGGTATACAATGTCATCTCGACGTTGCAGTTTAAAAACATGTAATCGAGTAATTTATTAACGGCAAACATGAAAAGTACATCTGAATATCTTGAAGCAGTTACTGATTAAAGCGTGTTAAGTCACGACCTGATCGATCGTGCAGAGCGCATCATCGACCAGAAGTCATTGAATATCAAAATTGAGTACAGTCGGTAGATAACACCAGAGATTGGTGGGAAAAGTGACAGATGTGCCCGGCTTAAGAGCTTACGTATACGGCTTTTGTTTAAATTACACCTTGGACAATAACTGTTGATCAATGCAACAAGACTATTGTCTGGTGTTATTGTCAAACGTTCTCCCTGGGCATATACAGGTGGAATATTTTTGAGGGGTAACACCATTGTGCATATATGGATGTTTGGGTTGGTAAGCAGGTGGCGATATCTGCCATGTTGACGCCCTAGGCAGGCTTGTTTGGGATATTTTGGTTTGAGAGTAAAACAGAATCATTACAAAACCCAAAACATTTCCTCACTACAATGGGCAAGAAACTGTAATGTTCCGGGGTCGGGGTGGAGGGAGGGGGGGGGGGGGGGGGTCGGGGTGGAGGGAGGGGGGGGGTTGAAACAAACTGCATGAGTATAACTGCTGAATAGCATAACACACTGTAGGAATTACATGTATGAAATAACAAAGTCAAGTTTTAATCACAACGGTCAAACCGACAGACAACTTCGGTTTAAATTCCCATGAGCTGAAAATTACACTTAATTCGTATAAATTATGGCCTCTGTTCTTAGTCTGTACAAAAAGACACAATATAATAACTAGAAAAAAATCAACAAAATAACAAATTACATGTATTTTAAATCCAAACGTTATTGTACATATATTAGAATTGGCTGTATGGAGAGACGAGTGGACTCATCATCACAAGTCTGTCGTAATTCATTAACAAGCCATCCATTCTCAAGTCAAGTCACAAGCTGTTCAAAGTTACATCAAGCCCAATGTGAAGTAACAGTGGCTCTTCCTTCCTCAATCCTGCAAAACCATCCAAAACCTCCTCAAGGGTTTTGGTGGAATTTGGGATGGTAAACCTCAAGCCTGTGGTCTCATCCTTTTTCTTGACGATAAACTTGGCGTAAGCCAGGAGAAATCATAAGGGCCTTTCTCACAATCCAAAAAATTTCTGTGTTGGGCCCCGGGTCCAACGCGGAGATTTCAGGAATCCCTTTCACACTAGAAAGAATCCAACACGGCTTCTACAAGGGTCCAGCCTTCTACAGGGGTACAATCCAACCCTAGTAAGGACAATGGTTGAGAGGTTCTACATGGGTAGAGAAATCCAAAATATACAGCCAACCAATGTACAAGTTGGTGTACTGTGAATGGTACGCCTTGCATACCCGTGCTCTATTGATCTGGTTCTGCTTACGGTGAACCCATGTTGATTTCAACAAAGGTATTGAAGACAATTGACCTATCGCCGTTTGCGAGTTAGCCACGCCCCTTAGACAACCCTATGGAATTTTGTACGTTAAGTTTTGTTTGTATCAGATTTTGCGTGTTCCGCGTCCATTTGTCTATCATGTCATTGGACAATATGTCACAAGTTGCGTCAACACGATTCTACCGTGATAGGTCAATGTGACCTTAATTTCCTGACTACTTAACTCCACCTGCGCAGGACCTTCCAAATCAGTATCTGGTCATTTCCAGGTCACACACCCTTGTTGGCAATATCACTGTATCGGTCAGTAGACGGTCAACATTCTGGCCACTGAATCCAGTCAGTGGGTGTCCAGCCATTCTTGTAGCTTGTTGTTCATTGACCTCAGGTTATACGCTGATCTTGAAGATGCTTGGGCGTCGGCAAGTAATGGACCAATATTCTGGCTACTAAACTCCTGTACAAAAAGAAAAGAAATTTCATTGACGTGTTAAGCCGAAAATATTGCTTCGCATTTTATGAACTTAGCTAAAAATTAACAGAGGACTAGTCACAAGCAATACACATTGCATGAAATCTTGGCTGATAACCGGTTTTGGCTTAGCAAATATTTCCCATGCTTAGCGAAATTCATAGACTTACAGTCTGGTTCCCGTCCTTCTCTCCAGCCATTGACTCTGCACTGTCCCGATGAAACTGCTGTAAGTCGCTCAGGAATGTGCTAATCTCCACCATCTCCTGGCTCTTGTCTTTCTTATTCATGGCGTTGTTCTTGAGCTCTCTGATACGACTGTTCAATCTGTAGATTGTTAAAAGATTTGACGATTTCTATAACCATTTTAATTTTATGAGAATTAGGCCATGACCGAATTACTTATAGGCCCTGCTCTGGAAGCCACTGGGTAGCGGCTACGGCCACTTCCCATAGACTTGTGTATTATTGCCGGCCATAGCCAAGCGATTCAGACATGGCCTCAGTTTGTATTTAAATTACCTCCCACACCCTCAGACAATAACATTTGAAAGTAAATGTTATGCATTTACAAATTTCATACAGTGTTTTTCCATCAACGACACAATTTTATAAGCACTGCATACTCAGTGCTGTCCAAGGGCCAGCAAGAAAAATTTGCAATCTTGCTCAGGCGGGATTCGAACCCATGACCTTATGGGTATCACAATCAGTGTCATGACTGATGGAATGTTAAGGCTCTACCTTGCATTCTCCTGTTGCAGTACGAGCAGTTTCTTCCGCTGTTTTCTTGTGGTGGCGGTCATCCGAGTCAAGGCACTCTTCAAGACTTTGTACTCCTGGCTAAGATCAATCTGAGAAGAAGCATGCAAGCCCAACAAATGAAGACAGTTTTTTATTGTCTCGAACTTGGAGAGTTTAAGTTTCAGTTTGTCTTTCTGATAAGAGTCCTTTGTGACCAATTTTCTTTAAGGATTTGCCAGCTGTAAAGATTTATCTCAAATAAGTTCAGAATGTCATTGGTCAGTTGAGTGTTGAAATTTAACCCTTGAAACTTGTTTTAAGCTACCTTGTCAGTTAATTCCTTCTTCATGAGATAGAAGAACTTAGTCAAGGCCCGTCTCTGGGATGCAGACTCCAACTTTTGTCTGAAACAGAAGGCAGGAAATTATTTATATTTTGCACACTTGTACGGCTTCTGATGATGACTTCTTGAGCAATGAATTCAATTTTTTTTTTCAAATTTTTAAACAATACGGAGGAGTCATTGTTACAAGAATCGACACCAAACATACATACTTACTTGTAATCCATCGTTACTTCTTCTAATGTACTCAGCGCCAAATCTAAATCAGTCACATCAGTTGCTAGGCGACGGCGGCCGTTACCAGCCCACAGACGGACTTTAGCTACAAAAAGAGGCAAATTCATGTCAAACAGAGGGTATTCATTATTCAAGTGAGATTTTAACATTCCCAAATTTTTGTAGGCACCACAAACGCATCAGAGGAACCTCCTCATTGAGACAAGACAAATAATTTTTTGTTAGTCAAGATTTTTAACACCTCAATTTCAACGGAAAGTGATGGAGTTTCTTGTGGATTATTTTCATGTCAGATGCCTTTATCTTTTTGTCTATACAAAACAAATAAACAAAAAAATCATCAAAAAAAGAGATGAAAGGCTAATATTGATGCAGTTGCCATGTTGAATGAATCAAACCATACCTTTTTTGGCTCCTGGTGCGATAATCGATTGTTGTCTGTCGCCCTCTGGTGGTGGGGATAGCTTTCGTCTTCTTGACGCGACAGGTCTGGCCACTGGGCCACTCTTTGGTGTCTTAGCAATGATGCTCTGTGAAAAGAAATGGAGACAGGAACCAGGGAGAGGTTATTCTGTTCTTTTTAACCCTTTGTAATCCTGTGGCAGGAGGGGCACAGCATTTTTTTTCATTATCTTCATGCAATTTGTTCTCCTTCATGTCGACACTTTATCAGTTTGTAGACTGATATCACGCAGACATAGTGTTTTGCGCAAAATGTCAATTTTTCAACTCAGAGTACCAATATGAGTTCACAGCTGAAAGCATGAACTGTGATTATGCATTTATGGAAGCACAAACAAACAATTGTCTGATTGAGCTAAAAATACATCCATCTATTAAGCCCCGCCCCTCTATGTTGATCTGACCGATCAAAGCGTTGATTGTTGATTCATGTCCGACAAAAGTCTGACATGCGTGCACGCGTGTATGACAGGCGCGGCTGGAATATTCAGTATGGCATTGGAGAGAAGCACGTGGGCCTAGTGGATCGGTTCATTTCTGTGTGTTCTAAACAAGAATGTCTCAACTAGCACACTGAATTCAATAACACTCAGATATTCTGAGATCAGGGGGTGGTGGGGGCATCCTATAATGACTCCTGAGGAACACCCCCCCCCCCCCCTCCACCAATCTGGAATTGGCCCCTCTTTTATGTAATATAATGTAGTTTAAGTTATTAGAAATAAGCAGCTAAATCATAGATAACATACCATTGATTTTTCTGCCGGTGTGGTGAATCTACCTTCGTCAACTCTCCATCTGACGTTGGGCGTCTCCAATGGCCGCTGACCAGAACTCTGTATGGACACGGCTGGGCTGGAACTGACCGGCTGTGACTGGCTGGAACTGGCTGACGGACTGTCCACTGCGGCCGGGTCGGCTGCAAGGATCGATCCGGCCACCGGTCCTGGACTCTCACGAGGAGCCGGACTTGGAGTGACCGTGGGTCCGGAGTGGTCACCGACTGAGCGGTCATCGGCTACAGAGCTGGACTGACTGGTCATCGGAGTCAGGGAGTTGTCGCCGGTCAGCTGAGTCTGTGATACAGTGCCCTCAATTGATAGATCAGCTGGAGTGGAGGTCGCTGATGGCCCAGTGGGTGTTGGGACGGTTGATGCTCCAACTGTGGATGAATTTTGTATGCTGTCTCCTGATTGGACCATTCTAGGACCCCCTGCAGAGACGGAGGCAGAACCATGACGAACTGAGTGATGTGAGGACGGTGCTGCAGAGGAGAGAGGAGTCAATAAGGAGGAAAACATACCAATGGCAGAGTAAATTTTGGATGGTGTTGTTTTCATGTAAATTTTTCAGGGCCATTATAATTGGAAAAAGGATTACTTACGTCTTTTCTGGGCAGTGCCGGAGCGAGTCCTGGAAGATGGACTTGCTATAATGATTGGACTGGGACTAACTCTTGGCCTACCAGACGAAGTCTGACTTATGACTCGGGGAGACGGAGAGATGGTTACAGAACTACGAGAAGAACTAGCGGCATCATCAGGCTGATGGGGGAATAAAAAAAGTAATGTGGAAATTACAGTCATAAAAATTATTAGTTTAAAAGTTACAATTTTCTTCTCCAAGAATGATATTCAGATTACAATTTTACTAACTAGGGTACTGGTCAAAAAGTTTTTTCCGGTCAATTTTGACTAGTTTGTGTTTGCCCCTCTCAGATCCTGAACGCTTTGCTCCCTGTGTACCTTGTCCGCTGACTGACCATGAACCAAGGCTAATGGTGACTGCCTCACGTCCCAGTCTCGGACGAATGTGAACGCTCGCAAAGTGGTTTGCCTCTTCCTGCACAAGGGAAAAATATCACACAGCAAAGTCAACGGAATGAAAAATTGCACCAATCTTTACTGGATGTCTTTCAACATGTTCAAAGGAATAAAGTAGGTTAAGAAAGATGGAAAGACTTGCAATATCATGAATATGCACGCATACCTTTGGACTGTAATCATGGTAATTGAAGCACGGCCATCAAGTTTGACATGTTTAATTTAACTTTGAAATGTGTTGGTTTCTATAGTGATAGGCAGTGTATATTTGACCGTGAACTGGTCTCCAATTTTTTTTAGCTCTTTTACCAGCAGTCACGGCACTGAACATGTGTAGTGAGTGTTTTTGTGACTTCGAAATTTTGACAAATCTTCATCTGGTTTCATGCTCCATTGTTGTTGTGACTTCACATTCACGAGATGGGAATCAGACCTAAGACAATTTTGGATTTTAAGTTAAAGTGCGCCGCAACCGGCAACCCGACACCCTGAATTTCCGACACCCTCCGCTGTTTTCATGGTTTTGTGCCCAATTTCCGGACACAACCGGGAACTAAATTGCAATTGTGTATGAAATTTGAACAAATAAATCGAACACATTCCAACTCACGCTCCTAATCGTCTTCTAGGAGGAACTCGTGATCTCTCAGGGATAATTGTTGTGACTTTTCCCCGTCTTGAACCAACATTTTCCTGGCTACTTGGAGAAGCCATTTCAGTACGAACTCTGCGTACGCGCGTCGCGCGAAAACGATTTCAAGAATACGCCTCTTGAGGGCGCTGTTCAAACAAGGCCAGTGGGTGTATTGTGATTTGCCCAGTTGAATAATGTCGGGGATTTAATTGCAGATTTATAAGAAATGTAAAAGTATCGCATGCACTTTCCTTTCATTTAAGGTATTCCAAAATTATGGAGGACATACCTGAATTATTGCTTTATGGGGCCCTTTATAAATTGCAATTCTAAGCTTGATTTTTAATTTGGAAAAATCGATAATGTTTCAGTCGTACTACTCCATCATGCATGGGAAGATAATGTTTCGGCCGACTGGATAATTTATGAACAACATTTTATTCACTACTGGTTCAAATAAGTATGATAAGAGAGGACCATCCGCTCAGTTATAATGGATCTTTGGAGACCTTTCTGGCCTCCAGGATAAACGGTCAAACCGAACTCAACCATGACTTCTGCGACATGCTCATGACTTCTGTGTCGCTCTACGTGATCTCCACTTCACCTTTACTTCCATTAATTCAAGCATCTCTCCAAAAAATTATTGACATTATCGGTCCAGAAATCCGACAAACCGTGACCGGGAAGCGCCAAGGAAAGCCAGGAAAAACTATTTACCCCTCAGCAAAAATCCGGACTGACTCCTCGAGACCAGCGCCGGTAGACGGTCGATATGACCGGCGTATTTTATCTGACAATCTCCGGCCGCCGAGATGTCTTCAAGACCGGAGCTGTTCTGATTTCATAATTAATAATCGTTAATTCTTCTCAAAACAACCCTCAGTCCACTCTCGGAGCTGGTGTGATGTGCAGTGGTCCGTGTCAGTTCCTGTTGACTGTGGAGGGGCGTTTTTGTTTTTGTCGATAGAGGGATCTAGTTCTTGAAGAGGCAAGACGGAAGCCTCTCTTCGTGACAGGAGGCGAAAAGGCGCCTCGGGGTTTAAGCCGGGGATGGAACCATGTCTTGGCTGGACAAAGTTGGGAATCCAAGCCATAAGAATTGAGTACGTGTCAAAGAAAGCACCGAGAATCGAACACACTTGAAGCTGGAAAAAGATAAAATCCAAGGAGTTTTGGAAACAAGACGCAAAGAGTACAGACGTAGACCATGGAGAAAGGAACAGGCTCAGTGCCATGGAGTTCCTCAACACTAAAATATTGAGCTTAGTAGCTAGCTGAACTTACAACCTATCGCAGTTTTTTTGAGCAGGTTTTTGGCTGATTGTTTGTGTTGATCCAAGGGGCCAGCCTGTTCATTCTTTTTATACCTGACTTCTTGACTGACCGCTTGACTGATCGACTCCCCTGACTGCTTGCTTGACTGACTGCCTGAGTCTTGAAAGTCTTGTGGCCAAGACTGGTCAGGGACCAGCTTGTTTAGGCTAGCTTTTTGCCTGGTTTGAGTTTAACCATTCTTTTTTTAACGCTAAACAAAATTGTGGAGTGGCGGCACGCGTGGCAAAAGCACCGGCTTTCTACAAACAAGTCTATGATACTGAACATTGTCATCATGAACCTTCCTCTCAAAAAAATATATTTCTTTGGGCTTGAACATTTGCACTTATGAAAATAAAGGTAACAAAATGAAGAAGAGTCAACTCAAAAATGTAGTGTGTATAGCCACCATATACAGCACTTGTCGGTTTGTAAACTTTCTGATACAGTCGCCTCCGTTTCCTTCCAACTCCGGCAAACTTCTGGCAGCGACTTTTTTTTGTGACATGCCCAGGGGGCAGGCTCCCCCTTCTCTCAAGCTTGTGTTTCCCCTCTAACATCCTCGTCAACCTCATCTCTCGTGCCCCATCGTCTCAGCTTAGGATGGGAGCTGACAGGACAATAACACGACGGTTGTGTTTATATGAGTGACACGCTGCCTGTTATTAATGCGATTTTTATAAACTGATCAGGACTCAGAAACGGGCCGACTCTCCTGCACCAGGTGATACCCAACGGGGATAGGCTGTGCTCTACACAACGACTGTTCCAAGTTAGGTGTCTTAAGTTGGCTTGCACATTTTCGATGATGCTGCTTCCATGAATTTGAGGGAAATGCTGAAGATTTTAATTACACGATAATGAATTCATTGGAAAATAGCACAGATGGAAATTATGGTAATTGTGGTCAGGTTGAATCACTAGTGAAGCTGTGAAGGTTAACACACTTCTAGGGAACATTTTGTTTAGTGCAGAAATGTAAAAATCAAACGGATGAAATAGTACTTATTTTATTCTCACCAACTAAATCATATTAAGGGCAAATGTGATGCATTTAAAATACAATGTTGTAATATCATAACAAAGGGTGACAATGATGGTAAAACTTAACACTCATTCAAAAAGATGGTCCGAAAAAAGGTTAGGATTGGGTACGGATTTCGAACTTTATTGTATTGTTTTCTTGAAAATGAAGTGATTATTTGTGCTCCGTTAAGTTGGTGAGCGGTTTTCAAAAGAGCTCATTCCTTCCTCCTAAGTCTCACAGCTAAATTCGCATCAGCCATCTGTTTCTCTTTATCGATCATGCAACAGCCGTCTGCATCCAGTTGCCTTCTCCAGGTGATGGCCCCTAGATACGATAGGCCGGTTGCAGCGGCTAGCGATATCAGCGTCTGATTGCCAGCTGAAGACAACGATATTACGTATCAGTCATCTCGCAGAAACCGACTCTGACATGGAGCTCCCTCCGTATACCCATCAGCTAGCCTGGTTTCATAGTCATACTCGATGAATTTCATCGTGAGACCGCGACGAGCTAAGACATCGGGCTCAAAAACTCGGTCAACGGGAACGCAAGGAGGTCGGGACGGAATTGCTAAAAAAAGTCTTAAAATCCTCGCCGTATATAATCCGGCGAGGACGGAGTACATTGCAACTTGTCATGTCATCATTCACTACTCGAGACGCCGATATGCAACTAACCACTTTGACGGATGGCACATTTTTTTCTGTTTGAGTGAAGGACTGAAAGTAACTGCAGGATGAGTAATCTGGGATGGGGTGGAGGGGAAGACAGGGTCCATGAAAAGTAGTTCAAGGTCATATTTTTGAGCGAGTAGACGAGTTCAACTTTGGCCTGATTACCGAGATGAGTAGGGTGGCTAGCGTTTCAGGGGGTTGCCAAAAGTAGAGTATAATTTCGGGACCTATATAAACACAGAGAAATTTCGACGCTTACGGACTTTCTAAGACACTTTAAAATCATCGTGTGAACTTAAGAGGTGGAGTGATTCAAAGAGAACATTCAACTCTAATTTTTGCCGACTTGCTGAGATGGGGGAAACAGATAGTTTCATGAAGATGTAGCATTGATTAGGTTCATTAGTAAAAGTTTCGTGGTTAGTATTTGTCAGTATTCCGACATATCAAGTGGTAAGAATAGGTCCTTTGCGTTCAGCATCCGTACAAAGTTTTTTTTTTTGTCATTTAAATTCGGTAACAATGAATGCACAGGAGGATTATATTCATGACAAAAGCACACACCTTCAAGATGGCAGCAGTGCAAAGGGTCTATAAAGGAAAAATACTTCATACATCAGAAAATTCTGGGTATGATATTTTGAGTGAATGGATTAAAATGAATTTTAAAACGACTGTTCTCTGACTGGTGAGCCCTCGCCAGCTGAGCTGTAGCTCCTGAATAATTTGATCAGTATGCATTCCAGGCTATCTACCTCAACCGATAATGTAGTTACCAGGGTTCTCACGGCCGACAGGGCTAAATGATCTAATGCGATAAGTGATGTTGACCCGGCAACTTTATTGGCTTGTTGAGACATCTTCAGCAGTCAGATGCCTAGACGCGTCACGAGTCGCTTGTTCAGAGAATATTTTCGGATTCGATAGCTCGATATAGCTTTTGGTATGTTTTGCCTTTGAGAAAGATCTTGCCAGGATTGAAACACCAGGTCCCTTTTTTTGTGTGTGAGAGATTCAAAGGATTGTAGACAATTTTACCATGAGTTTGTTTGCTTAAGGGGAAAACATGGCTGCAATTTCTATATCGCTGTACGCTTCAGCTCTACTAGTTTCTGTTGTTTTTCCTCTGCGTTGGAATGTCACCGGATACATTTCAGAGTATGACCAAAGACAAAACTGAACTGAACGGATTCTGTTGATATTTCTTTTTTCTTGCTGAAGTGTGGTAAGTTGTAAGAAGAGGGAAGCAAGATCTTGGCAAGGAGTTCACTGTTTGGGGCCAAACAAAGAGTATGGCTGGATTGCTAAGGAATTTCGGTACTGATCAGTCGTAGTTTGAGCAAGATGTGCCCAGTACTGAGTTTCTGAGTTAGACAAAAAAGTATTGGGGGGGGCTTTCTTTTTGGGTTGAGTGTATAATACATTTCGTCTATCTCCACATCCTATGTACAATGACACTTTTGATCAGAGTTATCAGACCATCTATCTTCACGTTCCCACAAGCTAGGAATCCTTCCTGGGTTTCCTCGAGCGACTTGCACCGAGTCTACGGAGCAGACTCTCTCGCGCCGAGAGGGAGCGAAAGGAAGAAAGTGATATTACCCCTGGTCATCAATCATCTTCAAGACGTTGATGATTCAGGCTGACATTGATGAGGGAGAGGGGATGAGATGCTATTTCAGGCCGATCGCCAGAGTAAGACGGTGAGAGTTTAAGAGAGATAGAGAGAAAAGTTCCCGGGCGCTGCCTACAGGTGTGTCAGCCATGGATACAATACTCGCGCCTCGGTCTCTATTTGCGCGCATATGCCACACTAATCATGTTAGTAGGATGACGAGATGGATGCACCCGCGATTTCTGTTTACAGTGTTATTGAGTGTGATCCCTATAATATGTTCGTGTGTGTGATATTTATCCCAATTTGCAGTTTTCCCATGTACTTGTGTGATGTGCTATTGGAGGGTCCATATTTTCGCGGAAGGAATTCAAGAGGATTTCATTTTTTCATGAAATAACAAACATGCTTAGTTCTCGTTCGGGACTCGTTTGGTTTTGTGTATCTATTTGATTTCAAGCAAAACAAAATTTTGGCTTCATTCTAGGCAAGACCAGATTGGGTGCAGCCAGCTATATAATGACCGCCATGCGAATCTATGATACTAATGGTAAACTTAATCATCTCTTGAAGACTTTCCTTTCAAATTATCTTCTTCTTTTTTGCGCTCAAAACACAGCGTTGGAGTCGGGGGTCTTTATAGACCTTCAAGTTGCGTAGCAGCCATCTTAGAGGGCAGTGCCTTTGTTTTGTTGGGACATGCGTGAGTGAACCTTTAGTGCATTGTTGTTACTGAATTAAAATAACAAAATATGCCCTCTACGATGGCCGCTACGCGTAATGTCTATTGTCATTGTCCCTCTTCAATTAAATCTTTTCATACATCCATTTTGTCATCACAATTAAAAAATGTTTTACCATGCCTCGAAATTTTGGACACTCACTTTTTGTTATGTGAGTGATGAACAAAAATTTAAGAATACAAGCTGTAATTATGCTCTCGTTTTTTAATTCATCATAAACAAGAATGAGAAAGATTGAACATCGAACGATAATTTTATTCATTTTGAAACGCCTTCCCGTACTCGATTGCCCGTAGCTCCGCTATATCACCAACGTTTACTGTTGTGATAACGCATAATAAAACTTCATAATAAGCAAAACATCCATTGAAATTGCCATTCTGATTACTCTGAAGCGCGCTGGGTATGAAGAGAAATCTGACAGAGCGGTTTACTCTAACCCTCAGGTCATCGGAACTTCGGAATTACTTCCCCGATTTCTGTTTTTCTACCCCCAGGAATGCCCCCATCGTTCTCTCTCCATCAACCCGCTCACATCACGGCGATATTAAGCATCCGTATCCTGCTTTGTTTTGCAGGGCTTTTTTTTTGCCCCCTTCCAGAGAAATCGCCCAGAATTATCCGCGCGATCGCTTCTCATGACAGTGTTTTTGTTTCTCGGAGCGGACGGGAGCGTGCGCTTAGCGGGGTGTTCTCTGGCGGTATATTCCGGGGCACGTTTGACGGCTGAGCGTGCTGTGGCGAGACCCGCCTGCCTAGGCCTAAAAACCGCGGCTACCCCGGGCGATCGGTCCGACAAACGCGCCCCATCAACCTTCTGTTGCGTGTTTACTTTTAATTATGCGCGGGGTACATCAAGCGCTGAGGCCCGCCGTATCATAACATGCAGACATGACATATCCATGTTCCCTTTGGCATCGCCACAAAGTGCTCCATTATTTTTTTGGTCGAGATTTATATGTTTTTGCTCTGCCTTTGTTCTTTCTTTATATGAGAATCGGCCACGACAGACTTGTCCCATAAAGAAGCTAAAAATACAGAATAACTCAACATTCCAGTATCTCATGTTCAAATCGTAACAAATTAATTGGCATCATTAATATCGGTAATACCACAAGCGAGTTCATCTCGTACAAACCATCCATGTACCGGTTAACACAATGTACTGCTTCTAAGTTTGAATAGCGCCCTCTTGCGTCAATTAACACCGGCATGCATCTAGTGGAAAATGATAAAAGAGAGGCATTTCAACCAGAATCACAGCCATGAACATAACTTTCACAAATTTCAGCAGGTTTTATTTTAAAACGGTCCCGTACAAATATGTTTAATTATCCTTCTTTGGCAATTGCTACCCGAAGCTTATACATCCTTTTTCTACATCACACCTTAATGGTGCGACAAAGCCTTCTTACATTCACAGACTGGTTCAATAACCCGACATATTGCATTTTTTAAGGGCCTCATTGTCTCCAATAGTGCGAGTTATATGGGGCGTCAGTTCATTGGCAAACGTCGCAATTCATTACTCACGGATTCCTCCCTCCGTATACGGAACGGCAAATAGCTAGCTCCGATCCTGCATACAGGACCTATATAATAATTGGTAGTAATATCGGCCATTTTTATTAGTCCAGTACAATTGATATGATTATTGTGACTGTGCTATAATAAGCCTGAGGTGATAGGGCTAAAGAACTGCTGCATTGCCGACATGCACGGGTGGACTTTGTGATGTGCACATGTGAAATTAAACTGGACTTGCGTAATCTAGATTAAGTTCCACCTATGTGTGACGGTCATTGTTTTCTTTTGTGGACTGATCATGCGCAATGTGGTCAATGTGTCGTTTTCCATTGAGCCCGAATTTCATGCTACACCGGAAGTCCTCCACATAAAGTTACTCAATTACAAAACAAGGCCAAGGCCAGTCAATCTGGTTCCAGAGTGCACACAATTCAGTTGAATTCATCCAGAGTCGCTATTCACTGAAAGTCATGCATCCACACAAATGGGACGGATTCAGCCCATTCAGTAGCGTTACGGGATAATCCTCTACGACTGCACTGCCCGGCTCACAAACGAAATTGAATGAGTGAGTCGGTCATCAGGTAGTTAGAAAGGTATAAATATGACACAATGCTTGCCCTTTAGGGCTATCAATGAAACAGACAGCACATTGCACAGCGGTCATTCAACAAAAAAATCAACCAACATTTCAAGACGCTCCTCTTGTGTCGTTTCATAATACGGTACAGATGTTCACTGTAAAGAGCCAGAAATACATTGTGTAACACACGACACAGATTAAAACTTGACAAAGAAAACTAGGTTCGTCTTGAAGGCATTCTACTACCGCTAGGGTGGATGCGGGTTGTCTATTTTTCTTTCCTTTTCGCAATGTAATGCACTCTCCTTCACTGCACACGGTCCAGCGAGCAATCGAGAGCCCGCCCCGGCGTGAAGACAGCGACGAGACAAGACAGGCCAAGCCAACGGAAATATCATCTCGGTTTCATCTCAGCGAGTCTCAGGGATGTCACAACCGGGAGCAAGTCAGCCAGTCAACCGGCGAGAAGACAAACTTTCCTCCTTTTCTTTTTCTTCTGTTGACTCTCCGAGGCTTTGGAAGGTCAGTGACAGGAGACGAGATTGAAGGGGGGGGGGGGGGTTGATGCCGGAGTGACAGGCGCGATGATAATTAAACTAGGTGCAGGAGTTGAGGACAGATTGGATACACGAACTTGAAGGGAGGTTGAGGGAGGCTGTAAGACCATCAATGATGGATAGGGGATGTACGGCAGAAGACAAATTCAAGGAACTTACGATGATAAGAATAAGGAAAGCATAAATTGTTGAGCCGAGGTCAGTGATACGAGGAGGATGACAGGCTAGGGGCGCATTGGGAGTTGGGACAGTTTAGGAGCCACAAGAAGACAATACATGAACACATAAATATGACAGAATGAATTAAAATGGGAGGGATGAATTTTCTTATATGAGGAGAATTATTACAATTACAAATAGGGTGACCCCAATAAAGTTGTGCAAGCAGACATCTTTACATTTCTCCAAAAGTATCCAACATCAGCATTTCATGTTGCTGGAGTATATTGTTTGTACTCTTATGTATAATCACAGCGAACATTTGTTGAAATCCATTCATGCAAACCAGAGATACAACAGATTTGTTTTTACCCGTTCCTATGTGTTTTACACAGTTAAGGAAAAATCCCATTGCTGAGTGCCGGTTGAGCGATTTCCAATGCAATGTGTAATTCCCATTGGAATAGTTGAAAACATATATCCTTTTAAATCTGTTACAGCTGGTTTCCACGACATTTTCACTGAATATACCCAAGAGTATATAGGTAATATGCCCCACCAGAATGAAATACTCATGTTAGGTACTTTTTGAGAAATTTAACGATATCTGCTTGCACAACTTTTTTTTGGTCACTCTGAATAATAGGATCTTAAGGACATCTTATAATTGGACTGTAGGTTTCACATTGATCAATGTACCTATTAAAAATACACATCTTTGGCCAGTGCTTTTCTCTATATAGCTGTCATTGCAGCCCAAGCTTTGTTATTTCGATTCCCACGACTCGCAACCGATTCAATAATTGTGTTGACACAAACCACCCATACGACTGTTACAACTACGTGTCTCCAGATTGGATTTCAGCCCGATGAAAATTCTTGGCTCATCCCCGAAGCAGTGACCGCCAACAAAGTAAATTTTTATCCTAGCCTAGCCTGAGTGTAGGATCTCAAGAACTACGGGGATCGCAGCGAGTGCGTGGTCTTGGCTTTCGAGGGTCAACCCAGGCTAAAGCTGGTTCATCAAGCCATCATTTCGAATCTGCCCAACTCAAATCCAAATTGACATTATCATCAACTCGGACCGTCGCACCCGACCGGGAGCCGGCAGAGGTCCTACCGGGAAGCGGCGCGGATGAAAGGCTCGGCTCAGTTTGTTCAGGCCGCTACGTACCGCCATCCTGCCCTCCCAGTCACGGCCACACAGAGAAAGTTAAAAACGAAAAAAAAAACCTCAAGAAAACACTCCTAAATAATACATCAAACTGGCTTTCGTAGATTCTGTTTGTCAGTGCGGGGCTGTGTAGTTGTCGGCAGGGCTAGAGCTGTACGGCTCGCGGGACATTAAAATCTAATATTGAAGACAGTACCAGTTACAGAGCGCTTGCGATTTGGCCGGCCGGGGGCGAGGATTGAAACCATATCGTAATTTGTGAGACGCGGCGATCCAGGTGCAAGTCGTTTATTTGCTTCGTTTCCGACAAGTTGGGAGTCCGCGTGAACCGCGTGAGATTAGGGAAAGCAGCACCGACGGGAGAGAAGCGCGCCCTCAGCGGCAATGATTTCCAAGCAGTCAATGACATTTCACAAACTAAGGAAATAACACAAATGTCTATGTCTATAGCCACTCCCTTTGTCAGCTGTAGCTTATTATTTCAGAGGCTGTCCTAGCTTCGGTCTACCCCGCCTCCAGAATCGTTTCGAAGACAAACAAAAATCTGAAGTCTGTATATGCATTTGATGTTCAAATACCAAACTAGCCCGTCGGGGTCTAGCCTGAAGCCGAACCGGAGACAAGGCCTTAATTTCAAAAAGTCCATTATTGATGACCAGAGACAGCTAATCTTAATTCGAGTCCAGGATAAAACCGCCAGCTTCCTTGTTACTGATGAAGTCCTTGGTATTTTCAAAAGCTGTTCTGAAGACGGCTTGAATCGAGGCTATTTTCATGGACTGTCCATCATTTTGTATGGAAGTCCTTTTTTGACAAACGAAATTTGAAATACGCTATTGTAATCCATCTCTGGATGGCATGTACAATATCAACTACTCGTTCAAATCGTGGATAACACCACTCGCTTTGATTGGCCCTCCGCCCAGTCACAGCGTCCGTAATTGGATACGAGTGCGGTGGGTGGCCCCCGCGGTAGCCTCAAACGAGTAGTTCACGTAGCCCTAATATGCCAGGTCTGATTACGGCGAGGGTTGACTGTGGTCGGGTGTCCGCCGCCCAACCTATATACAGTTGCATGTCGTTGTCAATCACAGTCTGGTATCACTTATCTTTGCTGGTACGGTGCACATTGTTTTCACCGACGCGTCTCTCATTAAGACTTTCATCATTAAGTTAATTGCTGTCAATCATAACTTGTTTCCCTGGCAGAATTCCAGACCTTGTTACACAGGAGTTCGTTTGGATGCTGAAAGTCTTTCACGCTGAGAGACTCCGTACGGTCACACAAAGCAAGTAATCTGTAAAGAGAAATTGCAGTTTCTTGAATTGTACATCATCATGGAATAATTTTAATGTTTATTACTAGAGAAATTGACTGGAGCGGGGTTTGAACCTGCGACCCCCGAATTACCGTTCCGGCAGTCTACCAACTGAGCTATCCAGCCCTGTGTTGGCGGTTCCCCATTATTTTAGTCATGGGAATTACATTTTTAATTTGTGATTTGTGCGCAAATGCACGAGTGAAAACCGAAATGAAATGGCTCACAGTTGTGGATATCGCAGAGCAGTATGAAGCTAGCTACACAGCTGCTACAAACATTGAACAAACTTGAAAGTCAAACAAAGTTGAAGTTCCAAATAGGTTGTATTGTTGTAATTCGGTATTTCAGGAAATTATTAAACCACAGATATTACAGATACTACAGATACCGCAGATAATGCTGTATTTCTTTCATCATCGATCGATACCACATCGATATGTTATTGACATTAGCGGCCGCGGCACCGCCACTTATCAGCTCAGGGGGACTGACAGCCGACTCAGCTGTCGGTATCTGCACAGCAAGACAGGCAAAACATAATATTTATCGTCTGGTGGACGGGCGACAACAGAGAGCAAGCCGACAGGAACAAACAGCCCACACCGCCGATCCCCGGGCCCTCTCCGGCGAGCGATTGGGTATGGACGGCCGAAGGGTCATATAATCAAACCCGCTCTGATTTGAAACCTCCATCCTGCTTGCTGGTGGTGATACCAGACGTTTCCGCTCTTGGTCCCGTACGTCGTTCATGACAAACCATGGTCCTTAAGTTTTGTGCTAAGTTACGGCTGATATTGCGTACAAGAGTCTGTGCCAATACAGACTGAGTTGATGGTGTTGTACCTACTAACTACTAATAATGTCTTTAAATCAAGAATACTCTTAAACACGTAATA